AAATATTTCCTAATGCTATTTTTTAATTGAATTCACGAGCATTTCGCATATTTCTGAACAATCAATTTAAAAACTAAAGGATATTTTATGAAAATGTTATCTGTTTAAAGAGACTATTGAAAAAACATGCTTACATGATACTTTTTCATTTCGCGAAGAATGCCCACGTTTGTTTGTTGTTTATAAACCATTACATGTTCAAGCGTTTTCTTGGCGATTAAACATAGCGGTCTAAAACGAAAAAGACAACCCTCTTTGCCTCCTACTGAGAACTGTCATTTAGAGATCTCCAGGGTTCCAGAAATAAGGAGGGCAGGAGACATCTGCACGGCCGCTTTAAAGCGGTCATAACGGTCTTCATCACTGACCGCCTAGAACCGTCAGTAACGCTTTCGAACACTTTTCCAGTGACCGCCTAGAAGCGTCCGTAACGCTTTCGAGGTAGGCCGTCTTGACCGCCTAAACCCGGTCATAACGCTCAGAGGGTTAAAAGAGCTTCAACGTTTTCATATGAACGTGTATTTCTGTTGAAATTCAACTAGTTGCATAAGCACAAATCTTCATAATTTATTTTGAGATGGTGGAAAAACAGTGCTGATGTGTTATCAAGCTAAAAAAAAAAGGGAGGACTGTGCTATATCTCCCGTTCTACTGGGCCGATTGACAAAATTCAAACTGCGTTTTTCATGTCTCGAAAGCGCGACTTAGGAATATATTAGATTTATACATAGCACTATTCTAACATAGGCATCTAACATAGGCATGTGTTGAAATCTTACTCCAGCTTTGGATTAGCGTGAAACGTGATTGTTTACAAGCTCTTTTGCGATTTCTAAATTTCTTTTGACTTTTTTGAAGGTGTTTTTATTATAACATTGCAGTTTTTGTTTAGTATTTTTATCACCTGATAATTATGGAAAATTGTGAGGAAGATGTAAAAAATAAAAGATCTTATATTCATCGACCAAAGAAAAGAAAGTTCCAGGGAAATCAGCATAATGATACAATGAATAAGAAGTGTGGTGTCAGTTCTTCGTTTAAAAAATTAAATAGTGACACTGTTTTGCCACCAAGAGATAAAGATAACTTTAGAGCCTAATTTTAGTGGTTATAGACTATTTGATTTGGATATCCTATTTCAATTTATTGAAAATAATTTATGTTGTTGTAAAATTTGTAATGTTCATTTAAGTGAACTATTTCATCATGGTTTAAGCTCAAAATTTGAGTTACTATGCTCAAAGTGTTCATGTAAAAGAACTTTCAGAAACTCTAATATGATGGGTGTCCGAAAAAATATATCAGAGCTAAACAGAAGATTTACGTATGCAATGCGAACTCTTGGTCAAGGGAAAGCTGCTATGCAGAAATTCTGCTGCGTTATGGATCTCCCTCCTGTGATTGCACATCGTTCTTTCAAATTCGTCGTTAAATGTGACTGTAAGTGGAGACGGTACGTGGAAGACTCGAGGACATACGTCTTTGGTTGGAGTCTGTTCCGTAATAGGGTCAGAAAGCAACACAGTAATCGATACAGAAATACTGTCTTTATATTGCAAAGGTTGCGAGTCATTTCTAGGAAATGGCGTAAGTGAACACAAGGCCTGTTTGGAGAATCATGCTGGTTCTTCAGGAAAAATGGAAATGAATGGAAAGATAAACAATTTTTCATGTTCCATGGAAAAAAGAGGTGTAAAATATACTTCTTATATTGGTGACGGTATCAGGTTCAATGTTCTGTCTTACTTTTTTCGGGAACATGCAAGGACCTGACTCGGAACAGAGAGCTTACTAAAGCTATGTTCAATAACTGTGGGAAGTAGACAGGATACACAAGAAGGGTATACAAAACCCTTTGTTTTTCTCTCTTTACAATAATTTCCGTACTTCGGAATACAAAGACAAACTACTTGTGGTCTAAACGTAAGAATATAAAAATATTTAACTAAACTCTAACTTAACTTTGGAATAATAAACGTGGAAGATTGGCCTTATATTAACAGGAAGCCGTATGTAGTACAGAGAACTGTTAACACTACAATACGTTTAAAAATTATCACGAGGATTAAACCTCTGGCCTGGAAGCCAACCAGCAACTGAGTAAAACTTCTAAGGTAAGCGGCCTGCTTCGACTAACTCCATCCTCTCTCTCGCTTGGCAAAAAGCCACAACTTAAGTACTTGGCGTTCACCAGACAAATTTTGCATAAATAAGTTAACGCTTTTAATTCTGGCCGGAAGTAGAAAATAAGAAGTGATAGTAAAGATTTAAAATAAAATAAACGTTAGTAAAACTTAAGATCCTTACATACTTCCCGCCAGAGTTAATTAATTTTAAACTGAGGTCTAAAACGACCTTGTTGAAAACATTTAGCTCTAGAATCTAACGCGAGGCTAATCTTTTACAAACATTTCTCACTAGAAACTAGAAATTAAAAAAAAAAAAGAAATTTGTTTTTACAATAGCAGCTCCAAGGACACGCAATTTTTCATCTGTACTGCATCTAAACAGGAGCTTTTATTCAAATCTGTTTCCTTCCAGAGATCTGGAAGGAAAACTAGTTTAATGAAATGTTACACAATGAAATGGCAAGTAACATGCATATTTATATTTCTCTTAACATTCTTATTTCATTCATGACTATTTTAATTATCTCTCCCCGTGCTCTCTGACATGTGTTGTAAAAGAACACCAAACACGAATGTGTTTATGTATACGTGTTCAACACTTCCTCCTACAATCAAAACACTAACGTGTTAAAAATTCAACATACCAAGCCCTCATAACACACCCTAACTTCAACTCTAAACCCTGAGGTACTATTCTGAAAGTGGCTAACTCTGAAGTGTAGCATCAGAGAGCCTAACTTTATTTCATTTGATTCCTTTTATCATATTTGATGAAGGCGTTAGAAGATGGAACACGCGAGAGAAAGTTTTTTTTTTGTGATGTAGAGATTGCTTGCGGTTACGAGATCGCTATTAATTGATACGCAGAATAGTTATTACGATTTTAGAATAGAGAGGAAGAATTAATGCTTATAGTTTATAATTAATGTTTAATCTATAATTTTGATTCATATATTTTTATCTTACATATATGCAGCTGGTACCACTTAATATGATCACTTATTTGATTGTATAAAGCGACTGAGTTTTATATGCAGTGCTGGCTGCAGGTAGGATTTCATTTCGACTAAGGATTACAAGCTTGAATATTTTCGGGTGGGGGAGGGACATAAAAATAAAACTTATTTTATATAAGATTTCAGTAAATTTTTATGAATAAAATGTGCACATACCTGAGCTCCCTCTCTCTTTACATATGGCCCTGCTATTGAGATAAAATACTCTTTTTCGATATACTGTTTAATATGTAAGTTACATACACTTATTTTAAATAAAACTTTCATTTTTTTCGTTCATGACAAAAGCCATCTTAATTAAAAACAAATTGTAATTATTTCAATATGTTATAGAGATCAATACAATACGTAAGCATATCGAACATTATTTAAAAATTTATCCATTTGAGTTCATTGCATATTTCTTGTTAGCAGCTTTTCAATGGCAGTTTCCAAAATACAACATTGCTTGTAACTTTCTGTATCTTCACCTTCCAATTCGAGGGTGGTTCTCAAAATTTTAATGCCTGTCAACACTCTCCTACAATTGGTACAGGATTGGGATTTCCATCTTCGGACTCACTTTCATTTTCACTATTTCCTTTGTTTTCTGTTATGATCTCTGCATCCCTATTTTCACAGTAAGTGTGGATATTTTCATAGATTCCCAAATATTCGAGTCTTATCATGCATTTTTTCATCGTCACTGCTGCATTCTGGCATATCTTGAGAGTTTTCAGAAATTTGCTTTGAATGGAAGCTGGCTTTTTTAAAGCAATTTGAAATCGTTTGCAAAGTTACTTCATACAGAAAATGTTAATCGATCATAATCGCTACAACTACAAAATGATACAGAAGGAACTTAACATTGGATTCACTGTCATACATAAAATTATTCATGAAGAACAACAGCATATGAAAAAACTAGTTTGCCGTTGGGTTTTCCATAAATTAACTGAGCACCAAAAATAGAAGTGTGTCAGAATCAGTAAAAAAAAAAAAAAAATCTAAACTGCTTAAAGATAGTGGCCACTGCATTATTTCTAAAATTGTAACTGGTGATGAAATAAACATAGCATTTTTTTGACATTCAAACACAACAAGAAAGTAAAGTATGGGTCTTTGAAGATGATCCCACACCCACAATGGTGAAAAGACAATGGGGCATGAAAAAAGTAATGTATGCCGTTTTCTTCAGAAGTAGAGGACTGGTCAAAGCCATCAAGCTGGAAGGACAGAAAACAGTGACAACTAACTGGTACACCAACCACTTAATGTCTTCCAGAAATTCTTCAAGAAGTGAATGTTACAGGACTCATGCTTCACCATGACAATGCATCTCATTTAGATTGACAGTTGAGTTTTTTGAACAAAAACACACCAAAGTGATAGAACATCCACCTATTAACCTGATCTAGCTATGTGTGACTTTTGGCTATTTTTATCTAAAACAGAACTTACCTGGTTGGCATTTTCATTATGAAGATAAGTGATGATGCTATAAATAAAATTTTTCATCGATTCTAAGAAATGAATGGCTTGAGGCATTAAATCTTCGGAAAATTCACTTACAGAAGTACACTGATCCTGGAGGAGACTACCTAGAATAGTCCTAAAATTTCAACAGCATAACTTTAAAAACCTATGTGGATCTCAAAAATATTACAGTGACCTTCATAACATTCTGTACACAGCCTGTTCAGTCTCAAAAAATCAAACCCAAGATAAATCGGTATTTTATAACTTAGCCACTCAGCTACTATGCCTCTTGTTTTTGAATGGTACATACTAATGGAAAGAGGGAGAACAACAATCTTTACTTAGAAAGCTTACAGATTTTCATTCTTAACTATCAGACAGGTGATAGTTGACAAAATAACACAAAACTCCACTGACTTTATTTTAATAAGAATTTATAAAATACAAAACTTTAATTTTAATTTTCCTGAAATATCACAGTGACAGAAACTGATCGCATAAGTAAAAACAATGGATAATGGGAATCTTAACTGATCGCATAAGTAAAAACAATGGATAATGGGAATGTTGAATTAAAATGCATATAAGTTGTCTAGACATCTTCTGGCGATAGTATTTCCATTAATGAATTTCCATTAATAAAAGATGTAGTTGCTATAAATATTCTGCAGCCTAAGGGGAAAAATAAAAAAAAGTTAGCACTTAATTATATAAAAATGGAAATTAAAAATATAAAAAAAATTAGCATAATATAAAAATTTATAAACAATGATTAGCAAAAGAAAAATTAAGATATTAGTGATTTCCCTATGGACAAAACATTAGAAGCACTACCTTAATAGAAATATATCTAAATCTCACAAAAACAAGCTAATAAGTTGATATTAGATCTTAAATTCAGCTGGAGCATACCACAGCTCTTTTACTTCTGATGTTTTGGTGATACGATAATTCCAGTCACAGCAACAAATAAAATTAACTCTGGCAATCAAATCTGTTATTTAACTATTTTAATTTATTGATTTTTTTATTTCATCATTCAACTGTATTTAATTTCTATTATTTAATTATTTTTTAGTCCAAAGGGCTTTAGGGACTATTGTTTTCACTTTGCGATTTTGCGTCGAATCACTTTGAATGCCTGTTTCACTTTTCAAACTGTTACCACCAAATATTAACATCCTGTATTATATTTGAAGAAATTAAATAATGAAGAATCTGGATAAATGTATGTATGTTTCTTGCATTGTGATAAAACAACGGTACCTAGAGCTATCAAATTTTGAATGACGTAATCCTCCTGCGAATATGAGCATCTGGAAGCCCTAATTTGAAATATGTTTTATTATCAATTTCGTATTTTGTAAAACTTTAACAAATTTTTGATTAAAAAACTCAAGGATTTTAAAGTGAGCAATGGCAACGTCGTACAGAAAAAACATTTTTATCTCCAGCACGCGAGACTGTGTATAGGAAATTCTAAAGATATGCTCATTTTAAAATTATTCTGCGATACTGCTGTTGAACTGAATTTTATGGCTTGAGTACGCAGAACATGATATTTAATAAAAAAAAAAGGTAACACACAAAACGTTAAAAAAACGCCCCTTTGGACATAATTTAAAATTGAAACCTTTCAGATTTTTATTATTTATTTTTATTTTGTAATAGTTTTTTATTTTGCCACACAAGCAGACTAAGAAAACTCAAAATAAATATTTCCATCGAAATCTGACAACTGCACGATTAAAATACTTCCTTTATTTTGTAAAAGTAAAAAAGGGGAGCTGGGAACATTACAGAGACATTTATTTATCACATTAAATCATTAAAAATAACTGCACACAGATGACTAATAAACAGCTTCCAAATGTTAAAGATACAAATTAGTCACAAGAAAACCGGTTTAATGGTTTGCTATTTAGTATTTTTAATATTTCTTCTTCAACATGCTCATTTTGTTATTAACAGATTTTTAAATGGTTAAAAAAGTGAATTCAGATCTTTGGTTCATGGACACTTATGCTTTGATTAGTTATCCACAGAAATTTAATGCATTAAAATTCATCTTACCATTTAATTGCCCCAGAAGTCGCAATGCTGCTACTTCAGCATAAGTAATGCCACCCAAAACATAAACAATAACAGTTTTTGATGAAAGATCTTTTTCTTGCTTTATACTTTCTGAAATTAATAATAATTACTTTTTCAGAAAAACAAACATATTTTCAAAAGTTTTAAATACTATTAGAATAAAAATATAGAAACTGATATAAAAAATATCTTAAAAATAATTTTCAAAATTATTCTGTAGCTTATGGAATAAGGTGAATATAGAGAGGGATTGTAATAATGAGAATATATGAATATCAGACATGCTTACTTGAAGGTTGAATTTTTTTAAAAAAAGAGAAAGGAGGAGAGAAAGAATATTTCAACAGAAAATATATTTTATTGGGTTTGAACACATTAAACTAGAAATATTACTAAGTATATCACCGCATGTCTACAATGAAAATAAAAATGAAAAGTTTGTATGAAAAGGGGAGCATAGCTATACGAGATAAACTATTTTTGCAGTGAATATAATCATATGCAGTGAAGATGTATGATAATGATTGCTCAGACAATTGCACATTTCAGGATACTGCAGTCTCATTGTATCTTGACACTACACACATACATAAATACTTTCATACTATTTCTTTCACAAATACTAATAAATATATATATAAAAAAACTACTCTACGGCATTTCTATCATAAATAGTGACATATACAGAAATACTTTCGCATTACAGTTGTTTTGAAAAAATATTTTTTAAGGCTGGCGCAAAATGAATGAATTTGCATTAAGGTTTTCTCTTTACATGTATTTGCACAACAATCATGCAAACATGCCAATGATAGCAATGCTTGAAATATTAATCAAGTTTTAAGCATTTATTTTTTGCTGGTCACCCACTCATCCACAAATTTCACAAATTTCATACTTCCTTTCATTTGCTGCTACTACCTATAGATCTTTCCATCAAAGAATTAATCAAAGATTATTCCATTTTCGAAAATTATCAACACAATAGGCTTAACTTCGTCTAACTATTTTTCAACACATGTTTTATCATTTTTTAGTATGTAACCAAATACAGCTATACAAAAACAATAATTTGACTTTAGACGCTATTTCATGCACATCAAAACTTCGTTAAGAAGTTCCAGCTTTTCACATTTTTAATTTATTAAAACATAATTTCATATTAAAACAATGCTATTTTCTCTCTTACTAAGACAGCGATATTACAAAAGAAGTATACAATTTAACCACTTGTACTAAAAAGACGTGCCACGCACGTTGAGATTCTTTTGTCTCAAACTGCGAGCGGCCTGAACACCACGTCGATAGGCATTTATCGCAAAAATGGTTTATTAGGTTACGGCAAAGCACTTGAGGGCTATCTGCCTTAAGGGAGGGATGCCTTCGTGGAGGACTTTTTAAGGGAAACTGGCTCGTATACATGTTACACATGGGGAAAACCACGAAAACACCCACGCAGCCAGCCCGTTCGCGAGATTTGAACCTCGGACCGAACTACCAATCGCAAAAATGAAAAATAACATAGTGCACACATGGCCTAACAATGAGATTGTTTATTTCTCAAGTTACAGCTCTGGACTGCACTCGCAGACGCGAAGCGGGGTAAATGAGACACTTTACTCTTGTTATATTGTAGCGCACGGCACCGCAATGGTGAAGTTTAGTTGTAACGCAAGTGGTTAATAATATGTATTTATATATATATATATACACACACACACACAAAATAATTAATTTATAATCACACAGGTGATTTTATGAATTTAGAGCGGAGACTGAAAAGTTTTTTTGATTATTAAAAAATGAAAATAAATTGTAAATTTAGTAGATGTATGAAAATAATAGTCAATAGCCTGTGGCTAAAAGAGACATTTGAAAGAAATTAATTAAAAAAAATGAATTCACAAAAAACATTAAAATGATAGCCGAATTATCATCCTCAGATTTTTAATGCCTTTAAGAGGTGGTAAAATCTGGTAATAATACTACAAACTATATCTGGCCTACCAGATATGTTTCTGTAATCCTAAATCAGCAAGAAGTTTGAAAAATATGAGCTATCTACACATATAGACTTAATACTTATTAAATGTAATCAACAGTAGGTTTAATCATACTACTTCTGGACAATTCTGGATATTTTCAACAAGAAAAAAGTTAGTAGATTCCAAAACTCAAGTTCTTTTTCAAGTTCTATGAAACAGTAACTGGCTTTCCAACCATCATGAGCTTGACTTTAGAAGTTGCTTGATTTCGCATTGACCCAGCCCATGTTCCTTACTTGGATTTTCACCATACGCAGATTGCTACTGGCAAACATGATATAGTTGATGATAACTCCTTAAACAACTGATGAATAAGGTACTAAATTTAGGTCAGTTGCAAATGTCAATAAACCATGCATTAAAAATACTGAAGATGACACTGACGATTTCATCTTTAGGACAAGCTGGAAAACTTTACCTTCCTACTCAAACATTCATGCAACAGAAACATGCAATACTGACTGAAATTCACAGCTTTAAAGGCCTAATTTTTTGGCCACAGCTCTAAAATAAAATTTCTGATCTTGGGGCAAAATTTAAAATTACCAAAATAGACAAAGCCAGCAATAATTTCAGCATCATCTAAAAAAAATTCTATAGCTCTCTTACGGAATGCAAACTAAACCAGTTACCTGGTGTATTGCAAAAAGTAAAGAAAGAGTAATTATTAATAAGCTTCAAGCTTTGCATAGAAAACTTAAAATTTCATTAAATTCTGACTTTTTGGTCCCCCTATCATTGAACATTTAATTCTTGATTTTGTTTAATTCAGATTTACTACAAAATCCTTCCCTGGTTACAAAGATTTTAGCATGTTTCACTTTTTACAGTTTTGTTTTCATAAAATTAACCTTCACAAAATTTTTCACCAGTGCAAAAAATACCTGTCCATTTTCAATTCATTTTCATTCAATTGCAATAACTTCAGCACAGTTTGTGAAAAATTGTATTGCAATCTTTTTTTTAACAGCTTCATAATCCCACCACCTAACAAAAGAATACACACCAATGAAAAATCTGTAATTAGCAATTTTAACTGCATTTCATAAGAAATTTAAAATTTCTATTCAATTTTATTTTGATAAATTTTTAAACGTTATGCACCTCCCAAATTTGACAAAACTCCCATAAAATTTCACTTCACAGCCAATGGGAGGAATAATTACAAAAAAAGCAAAAAATTTTTATTTTTTTTGGGTGGAGGGATTAAAAAAATTGGTTTCCTTATTGCTTTTTCTGTTGGCCAAGATTCCAATTTCTGTTGCATTTTTAAAAACCACCATAAAGTTATTGACATGAGCGACTAACACTACATCAAAGACATTAACTGTTTTGAATTTGAAAATCGCTATGCCACTCTTCCATTTACAAAAATTCAAGGTAGTGACCAGATTCTTGGACCATCATTCTCCAATAAACTTTATTTCACAACTTTATAAAATTTGGTAATAAGATTTTCCAATAAATTAATGAGAAACCTGTGGGTACTAAATTACTCCACAACTATCTGCAAGCTTTATCTTTTCTAACAGAATTTTGATTCATGAATAACAGAGAATTTTACTAAAAATAAATTCATGTACATTTTCCTTAACATGGATAACATTATTTTTATTAATAATGAAGGTATGATTCAAAAAACGAAATTTAACCTTCTTGCCTCAAACTGAACAGAAGCAACCATAATCAACAGAAAATTGATTTTCTGGATCTCAGTTTTCTCAACCACACTTAAACAAAACTTTGCGACTAATGGACATTTTTTGACTTTTCCGCCATTAAATTAACTGGCATTGCCTTCTTATTGACTCTTCTGTTGGTCAAGATCACAGTTTTTACTGGATTGTTATTGACACCATCAACTAAAACTACATCAAAACTATTAACTGTTTTGACCTATGACTTTCATTAAAAAAATTGTTGGCAATACCATTGCCAATTAAGTTAAAAGAATTTAAAACATTTCTAATCTAAATTGCATTCTGAAACTAAAAACATCCTTTGCCACTCTGAAAATAAACTTTATTTCATTATTTTATTAATAAACGAATTAAAAACTTTGCATTAATTACACTTTGTAAATCAAAATTACAAATGAAGCATTTAATTTAAACTCCCAGGAAGATTAACTGTAGATATGTAATTTTTGTATAAAAAATATATATATTTGTAATTTTCAACTTTAGTAATTGATTTCTGTTGTTAAAAAGATTAACTCTCATCAAGTCCCAAGAGTTCATCTACTTTTGAGAGAAAATTTCAGTTTTTCCTTTTCCTGCTTACTTTTTATTGCTGCTAGAAATTTTAGTTTATTAATTACTGTAATTTTTACATTAAAACTTATCCATCATTTTAACTTAACATGTATTTTGGCCACATCCCCTTAATTAAAAGCATCTTTGATTCATTGTTTGTTTATAATCACTCCTTCTATCCCTCCTCTTTTCAAAGTGCCAGGTGGACAAAACGACTTAAGCTCTGGCTGTTTTGGGAAGACTCATTAACTGTATTTTATTCTCATGCTTCAACTTCAAACGGGACATCAGTAGCCTTAAATTATGTTTCTTTGTTATATAACTTGAGTGTAACTAGCTACATTTTTATCTGCACTTCATTTCATTTTATTTAATTTTATTGTACGTATATGCTTTGCCCTTTTTTCATCATTTCTTAGTGTTTTTCAACCACATTTTTGGAGTTTATTGATACTTCACATTTTGAAGAGATTTTTAAGCCTTTTTTTTGCTTGTTCAAATTGATGAATTATTTGATTTGGTTTATTTCTAATGTACTTACATGCTTTGTCCTTCCCCCCCCATCTTTAATACTATATTTTTGGAATTCACTGATATTTTACATTTTGAAGAAAGCACTTTATGTTTTGCGTTAGTTTTTTTTGTTTTTAGTCTTTTCCAGTTGCTCAGGTCGACATAGGGAATGGTGCCATGCAACTCCTTTGAATTAATCACTTTTATTTTTGTGTCTTTGGTTTGAAAATTGTATAGAATTAGAAACATTGATTTGCCCTACCAAACAATTAGAACCAGAAATTTAAATATTTTTATCTATTCCCCTGATGAGAGTAAAAATAGTTCATTCTGACTGTTAAATATTTTGGTCTAGTATTTACAAATTTTTAAAGATTTTTCTTAATTTCTCCCCCATATATAATATCTTTAGTAAAGTATACTGAATATATTATCTCCTAATATAAAAGTTAGTAGAATGCATCTGAATGAAGTAACCCAGAAGCATTGAAATTGAATCCTGAAATAATATTTTTAAAAGGAACTTGAATTTTAATCATGAAAAATAGAAATGGAATTATAAAAATGAAAAATTTCAATAAATAAATATAAATTATTATTATATTACTTTGCAGCTATTGCACAAGTATTAGGAAATTTATTTTTATTTCAATGAATTCAATTACTTATTTCAATTTTATATATATAGCATTTATAAATATATATATATATATATATATATAAAAAAAACAGCACGATGAAATTTGAAGGGGCATGTACATACAGATATGAAGTTTTCTTCAGCATTTTGTAAACTGAATTCATTGTATATGATCAGAGTTTATTACATGCTTCAGGAGATGAAATGGCTGCATTTTATAGTAAAGAAGGCTTAATGAAATCTGATACTGTAGCTCAGAACAAATTTTAATTAAGTTTTTGAAAATCACTTCTGAAGTTCATGATTGCTACTCAAAATTTTATAAAGTAGTTGTGCAAACATAAAAGTCCTAAGCATTTCTGAGAACAAGTAAAACATGCTCATGGTCTCTTCTAATACATTTCATGGAAATCAAATTTGGAAGAGAAGTCTTCAAAGCAAATTTTTAAACTCATTTTTCACAGCTTAAAGTTAGAAGTATTTTGTGCAAGCAGCTAAAATTCATTTTACATAACTCACAGATGTTACAATATTTTAATGAACTTATGAAAGAAAATAAGCTTTCTCTACTTAGTTGTAATTAATATACCTATTAAGCCATGTGACATGGCAATAACCTACATCACTGCATTCAACAATGGGAAAAATTTCTATCTGCACACATATATCCCTTCAGTTTTCATTGTGATATTTTATTGCTTTTTTTATACATTATTAAAACTCTAATAATGCTGTATTTTTAAATCTAAAAAGACTTCATGATCTTTCACTTAAAGCACACATTAACATATTCATAACCTACATCATACAATACTGAAATTTATCACTGAAAAATCAAGTCCTTCATGTGTTTATCAAAGGATCGCAAAGCTGAAGCAACTGCATCTTTTACAGAATACTTTCTTATGGAAATGGAAACTACTTAACGCATAAGCTTTTATCTTTCCCAAACAGGCTACCTGCAGTATGAACATATCAAAACATTTTCAAAAATTGCATATTCATTCTGATACCTAATGTCAGATTATATTCAAGGAATAAAAAAGAACGAGTTTGTGCTTCGAAGAAAATATGATTAAAGATATAGAATAGCCATAATTTTGTCATGACACAAATAACCAACATCAAAAAGTTTAAAATAGAAGATATTTAATATTTAAATTCTATACATTAGTGGTTCAATTTAAGTTAAATCAAACAGAATCAAATATGGTGATAATCAAAGTTATTAAGTTGAACTTACTTCCTCTTATGTAACTCACATTTCAAATTAAATTTAAAAAAAAAGGGAGGGGCAGTGGGTGAACAAGAAGCAAAAAGGCACGTCATGTTTATGCAGGATGCTAACGCCAGCTATTGATAATTTATCAAAATTTCCACACACTCCCCAACTAAACTCTGTTAAAAGTTTACATCAATCTCACAACTATCAAATTTATATCAAATACTAAATCAATAACAAAAGGTAGTCATAGCCATATTTTTTGAGTGTACAGATCAATGAATATTCTCTTCAAAACTTATGCAACACAAAACAATGATAAATTATTAAAAAACAAAGTTACTGACAACTTTAAAATATATATATAAAAACATTTAGTTACCAAATTTTTTTTAAATAAAAGATATTAGACCTTTTTTGAAATTCATTATTGTAGAACCAGGAAGAAGTTTCAAACCATCTTCAAGGTTGTGGAGACCACCATATTTTATGACCTAGAAATACAGATTATATTCTATAGATATACTAAATTTTAAAAAAAGGATATTATGTTTTTATTTCTGTGCTCTTAACACATTGAGGATGGCACGTACTACCTGTGGCTCACATGCGAATGATTTATCTGGCAGCGTATACCACTGGTGGCTTATACATGGATCGTTAATGTGGCGGCGTGTACCACCGGTGGCTCACATGCAAATGGTTCATCTGGCAGCACGTACCACCAATGGCTCACATCAGCTATAATTTTATAACACAGTTTTATTAGATGAAAAAATCTTCATGTGGTTAAAAATAACTTTTTTATTGAAAAACTGAGCTTATTTTTACAGGTAGACTATAATAGGCTTAATGTATTTACATATTTATTTGTTTTTGTGGGGATTTTTATAACATTTTAGACATAGTGGTGCTTCACCTTCGCAAAATTGTCAAAACATTATAACCCTTTTTGATTTATTTGCAGCAATGTTTCTACCTCGTCAAGCAGATAAGGATTTATAAAAATCACAGCATCATTTCTGCGACTTTCTCACAGTTCTGGAATACTTCTGAAGAAAATGTATAGTTCTTCTTTTAGGTGTTTGTGGTTCTGTAGGCAGTTCATCCAGGAACCGATCAATAATATTTTCTTTAAATTTTAAAATATTAAAATGCTTGGCACTCCACCTCTTATGAATATACTATGCATTGACAATTGATGTCATGCAAATCAATTCTATGATAAGTTTTCTATACCACTTAACGGTTTTGTAATATGATGCAATTTGATCGGATATATTAGCACCTTTTTTCACATTATTGTAGTCAAAAACAGCATCAGATTTTAGTTTACCATTGGTTGTTCATTTAACAAATTTAACTCCTTCAGGATCTTCAACACTCACAATGTCACCACGTTTTTGTTTTAGTTTTGCTTCTGCCGGCAGAAATTTTCTATTTACTTTTACAGTACCACATAAATTTGTTGATTTATCTAAACGTTCTTCAGCTAAAGGCACACTTGTATAGTAACTATATACAAAGTGCACCTCTCAAATAACAATCCATTTATCAATTGCATTACAGCGTCATATGTATGTCCTTTCGTTGTGGAGTTTACATTCTTTCCAGTATAAATTTCAACATTATAGGTATAGCCTCCAGTCAAAGAGAATTTGTATAATTTAACACCATATTTATGCCATTTGCCTGAAATGTATTGGCGAAATAGGAGTCGCCCTCATCAAGGAGCCATGCTTTCATCTATTTCAATGTTTTTCCCAGGTTTCACTGCATTTTTGAATAAATCGACGATTATTTTCACAATGTTGAAAATTTTGCCCAACTGATCATCAATTATAGCTGTTTCACTATTAGAAAAGTGTAAATATTTCAGTATAGTCAAAAAATGATCACGTCTCATAACTTTTTTTATACGTGCTTTTGAATACATTGTATTTTTCGACCAATATAACTTAATTTCTGGCAACCAGCACTAAACCCATAATAATTGAGTATGGCAATAAACTTTTTTTATTTCTCCTATTGTAACAAGCCACCAGGATTGTTGGCGTTTTCTTGTGGTGGATAAAGAACTTTTCAACACCATTGTTGGATTGTTGAGCATATCTGTTTCATTCACTATTAATTCTAGAACATTGTCTGACAAAAAGAACTGGTGCAATGAGAAAAGATCATCAAAATTAACATTTTCATGCAAAAATTCCTCGTCTTCCGTATACTGACATATCACACTGCTTCTTCCTGTGACCTGCTGCCATTCTATCTCCTCATCACTTTCTTCTGAATCAGCTTCTAAAAACTCTGGCGTCATAGTATATTTATCAAATGTCTTAAACGAGTCACTTTATTCCAAATCATAAGAGTTACTCTCCTCTCAAGAAGATGAAAGTATCATCGGCCTTGATTTTTGTCTGTGGAATACAATTGTAGACTCATCTGATGCGTCATCTGTTATTGTACAGTCCATTTCCTCGGGGGGAGGGGGGTGAAAATTCTAATATATTACAAATTTTACCAGTTATGTCTTATAATTCTGCTTACCAAAAACCAAAGTTACATGCCAACAGCAGTTCACTATCTATTAGTAATCCATAAAGAATGAAGAATTATTCATAAGCACTCAACTTTATATTTACAGAACAAAATAAGTGCAAGTGCTTGCCAAACATAGAATAACAAGAAAAAGAAACTCCTTTTGTAAACAGCGCTGCATATACTAAACGTATAGTTAAAGGAACTACGCTTTTGCATCTGAAGTTTTGCTACACAACATTGTGTGAAAGGCACTGCCAGGTAAAACATAGTATGTCAGTGGGACGATATAGAAAAATCTGCACTGTCCTCAACTTAACACAGTTTTATAATAAATAGTTCACTCTCACTGATAGCGTGCATAATTATTTTGTAATACTTTCTTTACCATACATTGGTAGTAAAAATTTGTTTAAAAAAAATTTCTGAAATGCAAATAATATTGTTTTCTGTATTATATTCTATGAAATCAATGCAACAAGATCATGGCTGACACTTTCATTTATCAACACAAAATATACTTTGCAATCATATTGTATCAACATAGAAAGCAAAATAAATGTTCAACTGAATTTTTGTTCACTTTAAAAACTGCATTTTATTTATTTTTGTGTCCTTTTCAATACTCAGAGATGAACATTAAGTACATTATCAATGACAACAATATATATATATACTACATAAATAAATAATAAAAATGAGTATTATATTAAAATAGTCACTTATAATGCAATAAAAAAAAAGAGGGAGGGCAAATGCGTTTTTGCACCTTAATAAAGTGCAAATAAAGGTGATGAAATTTAGGGCCACTACATCTATTTTATTCCATTTTAGTGTCAAATAATGAGCATTAATAATAAAGCAGTTCCCAAGGTATAGTTTACAAAGCATCTGGGAATAGTATAATTTATGCATAAAAATGTACATTTTGATATGATTAGGACACAAACATAAATGAGAAATGTATTAAAAATAATACTGATTACATAAAAAATAATGAAAAAATTCCAATTAACAACCAGTCATTTTGCAATTTTTTATTCTGATTTTATTTTTGTCTAGTATTTATGCATGATTAAAAATATCTCAGTATTTTGAAATGCAGAATTCATATAAAATTAGCCCATCAGTAAATGCATATTTAAAGCAAAGGAATAAAGTAGCTCTGCTCCAGAATAAACAAAACTGGCTGTAAAACTGTGTCAACAATTTTGTCTATCTATAACTGCAGTATAGAAAGCAGTTAGTTTTCCTTATCAAATGTTATTTATCCAGCAGTTTGTTGGCAACACTTGGTATAAAACACACAATTTCATTACTTTGAAATACAGTCAAACTCTGCTATAATGAGCCCCCTATACATAATGAACAAACTTTTTGGTCTTGTCCAATTTTCTATACTGAATGTTATTTTATACTGCTATAGCAGACCTCCAAATGTTATTGGATATAATGAAACGCATAGATATCTTCAGTTGAAACTCTTATGTCTTTTCATGTTTCTTTCAGAACTTCTGGAAGTTTAAATGAAAAATTTGCCAGATATTAAAATCATCCACAAAGACCACAATAAAATATCCACATTCCATGCACTTTTATATTACTTTTCTTTTATCTTCTACCCACTTTTCTCTATTCTAAACAAATGTTATATAAGACAAGTATGAACTCAACTCTAAAAGAATGAATACATAATAAGCATATCTAAGGACGCCATAAGTTGAGTAAACTAAAGAACGTCAATGAATCCTTTGATTTCATTCAAATTCTTTGACTGAGCTATCAGACAGAACTCTATTCAAATCTGCTGCTATGATGGAAATTTTTAAAATTTGCTACTCAGGGAAAGAGGAAGTAGCAAATTTCATGAGTTTTAAGGTGCACAGTTTGTTCGCCTTTTAGGGAATGAAATTTACACCCTTCAAATAATGGTTTTACATTCTTTAGGTCTTTTGTAATACACAGGATATTCTTTATTAAGGTTATTGAATATTTGCATTGCAACCATGGATAAAATTTTCTTGCAATCTGCATCATGTCAGAAGAAAATTAAATTACTTTGTACTCAAAATTTAATATCTTTTATTATCATTTTTAGATTTTTATATTATATGATAAAATAATTATTCATAGCTCAATGGGAAGTTTGGAGGAAGAATCAGGATTATGAATTATGCCAAATAACATACAGTACAAAGTCCATTATCTGACTCGTTGGGACTTGGCGATTCCGGATTAGGGGTTTTTCCGGATTATAGATCATCAATTTAAATCTGGTAATATGGCTGCAAAAATTTATACAATTAAAAATATAACCGTAATTTATGAAATAAAGAGCAATTATGATCTAAAGGGTACCAAAATTTACAAAAAAAAGCTTAATATTTATTTGTTTACTTTATTAAGCTTAATATTTATTTGTTTACTTTATTAAACATTTTGGTACTATTGCATTTTGAGGACCATAAAAAAATCGCCAAACTATTGTTTGATGCCATTACTGCAAAAAATAATTGTGGCAACCCTAACACAAGAAAGCAAGTATAATAGCAAATTAACTAAGATTAATTTTGTTTTTAATTCAGATAAAAGGTTAATTTCATATATACTTTTTATTATTATATTTATCATTTTCTATAATGAATGATGCCTTTCTTTGAAAAAAATTCTATTGCAGACTTTTTGTCACTGGGCAATTCAGTAATTGTTAAATCAACAGTATTATCAAAAAAGGATTTAAAAATTAAACTAGTAATTCAATGGCATCTTAAGAAATATAGAACTATCTAAACCTTAAGAAATATAGAACTATCAATTTGAAATCGGCATGTACACTAGATTTGGCGCTTTTGCGCATACATTTTCGCTGCAATTTTTTTATGGTCCTCAAAACGGAATAGTACCAACATTTCTTTCAATGTAAGTTGCTTCATTTTTTGTGCTAATACTTTCTCTTTAATTCTATAAAGAGACATAATTTCTTGTTCAGTTACAAAGTTCCACTGCTCAAGTTCTGTAATTGCTGTGTCGAGAATACCGACTTACTTGTCAATTGAAATTTTTTCGTTTTCAATAACCTCTTTGTCGTTTTCTTCACTATCGGAAGTGCACATGTGTAAACGCTTTATGCGCATGCGTGGCAGACGCATGCATTAAAACGCGCATGCGTAAATGTGGCTTTGTGGATTTGAGGTCCGGTATTATACATCATTCTGGATAATGGACGTTCAGATTACAGACTTGTACTGTAGTGTAAATTACAGAATTTACATATAATGACATTGTGTATATATATATATATATATATATATATATTATATGTAGAATTTGAATACAGTGTAATTGTAAAATTTACGTATAGTGAAACTGCAAAAGAGTAACTGAAAATTTAATAACTGCGCTTAATGATAACCGAAATTAATTCGTAACAAGATTTTTTTAAAATAAGATTTACATGGGCACCCATAAAGTAATTGGATAATTTCTCATAGATAAGGAAAAGATTACTTATCTTCAAATAAATTTATTCCCTTTAAAATAATTTCCAGAGACCTCTATACAGTTTTTCCAGTGTTTCTTTAAGTCCTCCGAACACTGTTTATATGAGTTGGAACTAAACTTTCCTAAATATCTGTTACATTTGATTTAATATTTGAGATGTTTTCAAATCTTTATCCTTTCATGGCCATCTTAGGCTTCAGAAAAAGGAAATAATATCAGCTGATAGATAATAAGTCAGAAGAATATAGTGGATGATTTATCACTGCAGTTGACTGCTTAGCAAGATCCTGTTGCATAGGAAATGCTGCACGGGGCATAGCATTACTGTGCAAAAGAAACCATTGACCAGAAGCAAACAGTTCCTTCCTACCTTGTCTTATCTTGTTTCTTAATCAAATAAGAATCGCCTAAAATACTGATTGCAGATTAATTAATTGATTTTTAGGGACAAATTCATCGATAATAAATCCTTTGTAATAAGAAAGTGCAATCAGCATCACCTTAGTCTTTGATCTGGAAATCTGTGCTTTTTTTCGTATGGGAGATGATGATGTTTTCCCGCTACGTGCACTTTTTTGTTTCTGGGTCATATTGTAGACACCAGGTCTCATCTTCCACTATGAACAATTTAAGAAATTATTGTCCTGTCTTGCAGTGGTCATCAAACCTTCACAAGAAGCTTTTCTTTTTTTACCTTTTTCTTTCTTTCTTATTTTTTTTTTTTTTTTTTAGTTCAAAGGGGCCTTGTCCCTGAGGGACTATTGTTTTCATTTTGTGATTTTGTGTACAAACACTCTGAATGTAAATTTCACTTTTCATTTGCTGTCACCAAATATTATTGCCCTGTATTATATTTGAAGAAATTAAAGAATGAAGAATCTGCATATATGTATGTATGTTTCTTGCATTGTGTTAAAACAAGGGCAATCAAACTTGGAATGACGTAACATTTTGCGAATATGGGCACTGGAAGCCAAATTCAAATTGATATTGAGTTCATATTTTTACACTTTTAACGAATTTTTTGATTTAACATCTCAGGATTTCAAAGTGAGTAATGCCAATCGTACATAAATAAACATTTATCGCCAGCGGGTGAGACTGTGTATTGGAAATTCTAAAGTATCCTCAACTAAAATATTTTACATATGCCTAGTGTCGAAAATTATGTTAAGTGCGAAGAACATATATTTAATAAAGAAAGGTAACACATCCATGTTAAAAAAAAAAAAAAAAAAAAAAAAAGGCCCCTTTGGACGTAATTTAAAATCTGAAACATCTGAGATTTTTTCTTTTCTTTTCTTTTTTTTTAAATTTTGTTGTTTTGTAAAAATCTGAGGCACAAATCAAGTAAAAATTTTCCTCATTTTCAGATTTTTTATCAAAATTAACTTACAGCTTTCTCTGCTTATCCCAAGCATGTCTAAAAACTACTGAGTTGTCACATGTCTATCAGCTTTTACCAAAGAAAGAATTTTCTCCCCATTCTCCTCGTTCTTTGAAGTTAAAGGGCAACCTATCTTTGGTTCATCCTCAATGCTTTCATGACTATATTTTAAGGCGGTTGTATGCTGCTGGGGTGGGGACAATTCTATATCTCCTGTTCTACTGGGCCGATTGATTTCCGTTTCACATGTGTCGAAAGCAATACTTAGGATATGTATTAGATTTATATATAGCATTGTTCTAACATAAGTACTTTGATACAAAATCGGAATGTTTCTGAAATGACATGTTGATTTTTTTCCATATTTCAATTCTACGATACAAATTATGCCAAACTTAAAAATCACACGAGTAGTTTTTAAAAAATTAGCTCTCAAAATTTTAGATCTTCTATACATAATTGAATTGATATATTTATGATCCTTTTTAAAATCAACTTATTTGATTCTTCTTTCATTTTTAGATAAGGTTCATTCAAATAAAATTCGCCCACTTTTCATGATTTATTTAATTTGTAGTTTTAATATTTTATACATTAAAAAAATGGTTATTACCTTAAAACTTTACCATCTTAAGTAACTGTTTTCTAGCACACTGCAAAAATAAAAGTTTTTTTATCAAAATTCCGAGCTATACACGAATTTAATATTGGCGCGTTTTGAAATTTGGCATATTTGCTGAAAGCGATAAAACAACAAATGTGGTTTAGGCACTTTGTTAAAATTATTTGAAAGTAGGAACAATGTAACTTTCCCCCCCCCTCATGCACAATGTAAAAAGCGAAAGGAAAATAGGTTGCCATAAATCAAGAAGTTCACCAAGTAAATTATTCTTGGTGCAAACTGAAAAATATATGGCAATATAAATTTTCGAATTTCTCCGTAAATTACACATAAAATTTTAGAAAATTTAATATGTAGGCATAATGAGTCGTAGAAACGAAATATGGAAAAAAATTGGCCTGTTATTTCAGAAAAAGTCCAATTTTGTGTCAAAATCCTTATGTTAAAACGATGCTATATATAAATCTAATATTCTAAGTTACGCTTTTGAGACATGGAAAATGCATTTTGGATTCCGTTAATCGGCCCAGTAGAACTGTTCCCCCCTTTTTTTGCAGCCACTCATACACTTGTATTTTTGATTATGATGCACTGCCATATACTGTTTCGGTAGCTGATTTATCTAATTCATGACAAATTTAATGTTATAACATTATTCCATCTCAAAGCAATTTTTTTTGTACAATGTCTTCTCAATAAATGAAAAAGAATCTGGAATTTTGATATGCAGATGACAAAATAAACACTTTTAACAAGACTAAGAGATGCCACTCTTTCTAAACATACATTTATTATTTCACTTTTTTATTTTATTTAATGTCTTAATTTGTGCAGTTATTTTATGGGCAACCTTGTATTAATTTTTTTGGTAGATGTCACAGTATTAATAAGCTTTTCTTTACCTTTTTTTGGGAGGGGGTGGATTTACCATTTAATTTTTACATGTTTTTGTGAGATAATCCATTTTTCTTATTGGATCGAATATAACTATCGGTTATTGAACCACTGGTTATAGTGAACCGAATTTCCACTCCCTTGAAATTTGTTACATTGAGCAATAACTGCAGTGATTTTATATAGCATTTCTTTGATCGATTGCAATTTCACAGCAATTACATTGTTAAAAAGCTCAATCACATTAAAATTAAGATATTCTGCAAACACTTCAAAGAATTTCTACACTCTTAATGAAAACATATTGGTATAAAATAAGTATTGTATTGGTCTGAATATAAGAATGTTTCCCCTCTTTAATATGCCCTTTTTTTGAAAACTATATCTTACATGTACTGGCTAATAATTAATAAACATTAGGATTATTTATCCCATAGTCCCTTATTTTTAAGTTAAAAGAAAACACATTACTTTCTCAAGGCATGGGGGTATTTAATCCAATTATAACTGCTTTAGTATAGCATCTTTTATGTGCCAAGTTCATATATGAAGGGCACTTATAACTAAGCCCCTTCTTCTTGAAAAACACCTTTTTGAAAACACCAAAAATACAGGGTCATTTTGTATTTTAATACAAGTTACATTTCAGCCAATATAGTACTTCATTCCCATTTAAAGAATTAAAATTATTACTTAAAAATCATTTATCATATATAAAATTTAAAAAAAAAAAAAAAAAACCCACTTTCAACAAATACAGAATATCATACTGAATTATTTGATAGAAAGATAAAAAATAAACAAAAGAAATTCACAAAATTGCAAATATATTTTTAGCTATATATAATAGATGAAATTTAGAAATCTAAAATTATCTTCAAATATAAAAATGCATACTGATAACAGACATTAAAATATTTTTATGTATATATGAAAAGCAGGATTAAAAAATTGTCTTAAAACATATTTAAGTAAAATAAACATAATAAAACAGATTTTAAATACAGTAATATTAACTCACTTGTTCTGTTATTCTTCCAATTAAAGGCACATATGCTCCCCCAAAAACATAACTCATATCTTTTGGGTTTTTTATATCAGATGAATCAGATTCTGCTGGGATCTACTGAAAATGAGTTTAAAAAGAATTACCTTATATAAAATACTAAACTTAATAAAACAAAGTAGCTATGAACCTTAATACTAAGCAACATTCAACCTTACATTAGTTTTGACTTTATTAAACTAGTCAACAGCATAAATAGAAGGGGAGAGCCAGTACAAATTACCTGAATAAAATTTTCTTTAAAGGTCCAGTTTAAGCCCTAATTTTTAAAACCAAAATCTCAAGAAGCTTGATTTGAACACCAGTTCTTTTATTATACATAAAGTTTGCAAATAATTACCATGTTAAGAAACTAAAAAGCCTGGTTAATATAATTAATAGGTAGATAACTGTTTTAGAAAAAAAATTTTAGTCTATCAAATTTGCTTTTATAGTGAGATATACCAGTTATGCAGCTTTGGAGTTAATATATTTTATTTATTTTTAAAAAAATATTTTTCCTATTACTTAGAAAAAGTTTTTTTTTTTAAATTTTAAACAAATATAAATATTTTATAATAAAGTATTTCTTCTTATTCAACAAGTTGAATTTTTTTATTTTCTTTAATCACACTTAAAAACTACATCACAATCATTACCTAAGCTCAAACCACAATGACTAATATAGTCCACAGTTTCTCTCTACAAATACAAAACGTAATATAGCACTGTCAACTGGATACAAAAGAAGGATTTACATTCTTCTGGCTCTAGAATCCTTTAAATATTACCATGAATGAAATGAATTTTGAAAACTTTTAATTATTTGCAGTAGCAGTCCACCCATATTCAATGAAGTGAAGAACATCTGTCAAATCCCAAGAATGGCAATACTGAGATATTTTTCCCTGTACAGCATTCGATGAATGTGAAAAATTCTGTTCTCATAATGTTAAAGCTTTGTAAACATAAATGTTTAAGAAAGAATTTCAAGAATATGCTGCACATAAAGTAAAGAAAATATAGCAGTATTTTAACTAAGTTTCTCATACTTGAACACAATGCATATAACTGAACAAGCATTAAATTATTCAAGTGTTCAGCATAGCAGGACTGCCCAGTCGTTTTGTGAATAAGAGCTATTTTTTCTCCTATAGGTAAAGTTGCAATCTACCAGTGTCAGAAAAAAATATAAAATAATATAATAATGCAACAGACTCAACAGTAAAGTCAATAATTTTTTTATAAAGGATGCATATGCAACAAATACTGAAATAGAAATACATAAGGGAAAATATTTACTTACCAAATTAAATTTCCTTACAACTGCTTTAAAATTACTATATCTTGGAAATGATACAGCAGTTGCAACTTTTTCTACTATTTTAGTAGCTTTGGCAGTGGCTCCTTTTTCTGGAATTTTACCAGGTGGTAACAAAGATGCTTGTTCCACTACCAAACCAGTCTTCTCCAAGTTGTGAAAAGTTACTATATATTTACAGCCATAACTCTGAGTGAAAAAAAGGTAAAATCAGATATATTACAGTTTGAGAAAAAATGTATAATAATAATAAATTCTTAAAACATTGATTTTAATTATATATTTCAGTCTATTAACTAAATTCATAGACTATGTATAGAGACAATGCGCTAACTTTAGTAACAGTTATTATTGTCAGGGAGACCACATTATCAGATGATACTTAAATGGTAGCCTTTTTATCCTTTCTTTTTTCACCCTTAATTCCCACGCTTTCTCTTCATACCTTATGATTGTTTTGTCCACGACAGCAATACAACAATAGTTATTAACTGGAACTGAGCTATATTATATTTATGAATGGTTATCCAAATGTCTTTAACCATGGTTTAAAGTGTTTAATAATACTTGACAAAGGAAATGCTACACTATCAAGATTTAGTTGCATAATTATGACAACAAATAAACTGCTGAATGATGAAGGTAAATTATCTGAAATGCATGTTTGTCACATAAGTTAGCAAAATAAAATGAAAGGAAAGAGTCAGATGAGTCAATACTTGGTAATTCAAGTTGTTTTTTTGTTTCAGAAGACGCCAGTAAATTTAATTCCAGCAAAAAGGGTTTTGTTATAATGGTTGATCAGTCCTTAAATACCAGAGTTGAAACATACCTACATGCATCTTATGCAAAGGATTTGGAGAAAATGGATGTGCAACTACATAAATGTCATTTGTATTGATAAAAACACATTGTTGACAGTATGCAGCCCCACAAATCATGACAGCTGACATTATGCAAAATGTGCAGACAGCTTTGGATGCTCTAATACCAGCAGGAAAAATTGAAAGTACTTGCAGCCATGCTGCCCTTTACAAAGACTGCCATTCACACAAAGTCACTGAAAGACCATGATGATGTTGGGACAACATCTTGGATGACTGAATGGCATAGGATAGTATATAGAGCAAGTCTCGCTTTTGTTTGATCAAGTAAAAATCTGAGTGCCATGCAGAGATAGACTAAGTCCTGCTGCAACTATCGAATGCCAATTGATGATATGTGGGTGAAGCATTGTATCTTACTGTCACAAGGATTACAAATTTATATTTTCTATCAAGATATTATTTGATCACACATGGAAATCATATGCAGACAAGCCCTGAAAGGTACTTAGATGTTTCCTCCACCACATCTCTAGATGTCTCACAATCAGGCACTGTCAATACAGTCAAAAGTCGTTAATCCGGACTCGTCGGGACTTCGGCGATTCCGGATTATCGATTTTTCCGGATTATAGATCATCAGTTTAAATCTGGTAAGATGGCATGCAGAAATTACAAAATTAAATATATGAAACCGTAATTTATGAAATAAAGAACAATTATGATCTAAAAGGTATCAAAATTTACAAAAAGAAAAAGCTTAATATTTATTTGTTTACTTTATTAAGCATTCTTTCAATGTACGTTGCTTCGTTTCATGTGATAATACTTTCTCTTTAATTCTATTAAACAGACATAATTTCTTGTTTAGTTACAAAGTTCCGCTGTTTAAGTCCTATAATTGCTGTGTTGAAAATACCGACTAATTTGTCAATCGAAATGTTTTCGTTTTCAATAACCTCTGGGTCACTTTCTTCACTATCGGAAGCGAATTATAATGAGGAGGAACTTGATTTAAATCATATCAAAGACGGAGTACATCGAAATACTACACTTAGTAAGGAATTATAAGCCAAATAAAATATAAAACATCTGCTCTGAAGATAAGGATAGTGCTGACAGATCAACTTCCAATCCGCGGCATGAAATTGATAAACATATTTCGGATTTCAAAACATACTTTCGCTTTGTAGATACAAATTACATATTAGTAAATATATATCGGAAATTCTATTTGACATAATCGAAAGTTCAAGCTTACTTTTATGAAATTGCTCTAACAGTCTGCAAAAAGTAATAAGCCGGATCCAATTCGAAGATTAAGGAACAACGCAATCTGCAACATTAACTGAATTTTTAGCTTAGCTTATACCTCCGTTACACATTAAACGCGCATGCGCACAAACATATTCGCAGACGTAAAGGTCTTACACGCACTCTTAAACGCCCGTGCGCATGCGTGAACGCGACGCATGTGCAGAAAGTTTGTAGTTTTGAGGTCCGGATTATAGATCATTCCGGATTATGGGTGTCCGAATTAACGACTTTTGACTGTATATGATTGGCCACCTTTTCTTGATCTGCCTCAATACCAATGAAAAAACAAACTGTGGAGGATGGTTCAAAGCATATACTCATCCATCATGCATACTGATTTAATCTGTACCTCAAAAGTTTGTTCAACGGGTTCTTCTTGTATATGATTGCAGCATTGCATTATCTTTTCGAAATTAAAAATCACTTATTTATATCTGCATTTCCTGTATGTTAGATAATTTTTATTTCTGCTTACTCTTTCATGTTTTTTTTTGTTTGTTTTTTGTTAGGCAGTGTATATTGCAGTTTGAAATTCAAGATGTCTTTAGGACGGTTTTCAATAATTACACAGACAAAATAATTAATTTGATTTTGTTACAACTGCAGATCTATCCAACATAAGAGAAAGAAAAGGGAACTAAAAAGAAATGAGGGGAAAACTATATGGTATTATCAAAAGAAGTTTTTCAATATCTCATCAAATGCGAGATTTCACAGAGTTTTGGTTCCAAGAATTTTACATAGCTAGGACCTAAGAGCCTTCCTTCTGACTGGCCAACCTATGCAAAATAAAGCACACTGAACTTTGTGTTCACTTAAAGCACTTTGTGTTCCCCCATCATCACAAAAAGTTTTGAATGGTACAACTTTATGATAAATAATTTGAATGAAATAGATCTGGAAGAACTAATTTGAATATAATTTCTAAAATAATATTACCTGTTGCATTTTACATTTATATGATTTAACAGGTGATTTGTACTTGTAAGACTTTTTTTCATAAAATATGAATTTTTTCTTCGGCAAAAGAGAAAAAATCATATACAGTAGCAGTGAATGCATCTTAATACAACAAAACTAACCTGCCGAAACTGTGTCATTAAAGAACTGTAATCAGAAGAAGGTAACCCATTTTGAGCAATGGATAATAGGCATATTAATCTTAAGGCACTTTTGTAGGAATCCTAAGTAATAAAAATAGACAAAAAATAGAGTTAATTATAACAACTTAAGCACGGATTTTTGAAATTTTAATATACACATCAATTGAATGATAACTGATGAAATCTCACTGCAAAAAATAAGAAAACAGGAAAACTTATTCAATTACTACATTCTTAATTAGTCTTCTTAATTAAGAAGATAAAGTAGTCTTAATATAAAAATTAAAATATTTAAATTCAGCTTTAAAAATATGCATAATTTTTACATCAGTATTTTCAAGCACAAAAATTTCAAAAATAGCATGAAGTTAATAACATGTGTTAAAAACACAGTATTTAACTGCTCATTAATATAAATGAAAGGTAGCATTAAAGTAGATGTTCATACAAAATGTGAAGATAATAATGTACAGAATAACAAACATATAAAAATAAAATCAAAGATCAACCTGCTTATTAATAATATCCTCTATGTAATTCATACATTCACTTATATTCTGGTTTTCAATGATGTCTGAAATCACAAAATTAACATATTTAATTTTATACATAAATTAGAATAACTCTTACTTATTGGTAAATGTAATAACATTCTTACCCCTTTCAATGCCCAGTCTTTTATGAAAATCTTCTGCATTCTTTTCTTCTAAGATTACTTCACATGCCCTAATGTCTTAAAAAATACAAATAAAACAAGGATGAATATCAACATATGAAATGAAATTAAAAAATTTTGTATTTAAATAATTATAATCATAAAAGTAAGAAACAAAAAATACTAAAATGCATTTTAACACAACAAAACATTTCATTGCTAACATAACATTTCTAATGCTTCATTAATTTGTTTTAAGATATTTAATTTACTGCTCCTTTTGTTATCAAAATATGTAAAACAAAACGACCATTTATCAGAATCATTTTTATCAAATACATAAAGGAAATCTAGGGTAGAAAATGCTTTACACAAACCCTTCTCAAAAATTATTTTACTTTCATTTGGTTATACAAGTATAATGATTACAAAAATTTGTGAAATTCTTTCATTTAGATAGCACTAGCATATAATTTAATGAATAACATTTCAAGAAAAAAGGACTCGATACTTTAAAAAATCTAGAAATTAAAAAATTCTGAGCTGAATGTATAAATTCAAATATATAACTCAGTCATGTATAGCAAAATGACAATATTTTCATGTAAATGATTTGTAACATCTACAGATACACATGCAAATGCATATATATACACATCCATATATAATGATGACTGTAATTGAAAGAGAAACATGTAAGGTAGCATAAAAAATTAAGCAAAAAAACCAGACTGGTGTGATTCTAAGGATGATCAGACAGACTTTTTTCAGATCCGAAAATTTGTCACGTAGCTGGGAGAAGCAACTGCCAAATTTTTAATGAAGTTATTATACAGAGCAGAGAGAAATGAACCTAGTGCCATCTGATAAAGAAAACAGTAATGAGAAGTTTAAAAGCTACGAGTCTGAAATTCTGAAACTGTTGTGAAAAATTAGACTAGAATTAACATCATTAATTAAAGTCATTAATGCTTTAAGGAAATCCAGTTTTTGAAGAATCTGCATCAAAATCGAGATTAGTAATCAACTATAATTAGCTACCAAAGTTTTTTTTTTTTTTTTTTAATTTTATTTTGCCCTTTCAAATACAGACTTTGTGTTCTCTGACTCACTTCTAGTTTGGCCCACAAATGTCAAACCATACTAACAAGATATGTTATACATTGTTAAGTGACTAGATAAAATGGCAATATGGAAAAGGCCTGTTTAAAAAAAAGGGGGGGAAAGGAAAAGCCTACAACCATGAAAGTCCACAGCAAAAATACTCACATGGATGAAAGCACATATGAGTATATGTTCCAAGCCTAAAAATACAACATACAGAAAATAATTCTCACATTATTTTCAAACTATACAAAGCAAATTCTTACTTCAAAATTTTCTGATATTTGTTTCCAAAGGCAAACAAATTGTTAAAACTAGGCATTTTATTTCAATTTCTGCAAGATATTTTCATACAACTTTTCAAACTTTATGGTGTATGTGTATTTAATTACGGCAAAGCACACGAGGGCTATCTGCCTAAGGGGAGGGATGCCTTTCGTGGAGGACTTTCTAAGGGAAACTGGCTCGTATACACGTTACACATGGGGAAAACCACGAAAACGCCCATGCAGCCAGCCCGTTCGCGGGATTCGAACCTCGGACCGAACTACCAGTGTTCAGCGACTTTACCGCTCGGCCGCTGGTGGGCTTTCAAACTTTATGAAAAATAAACAAAGAGGGAGAAAACGAGAACAAAACATATATTTTATTGGGTTTAAACACATTAAACTAGAAATATTATAGGTACAGCACGGCATGTCTATAATAACAATACAATATAAAAAGTAAAGAGGGCAATGCATATGAGATAAACTATTGTTGCAGTAAACATAATCGTACACAGTAAGGAATGCAGTCACATGCAGTGAAGAAATATGATAATGCTTAGATTATTTGAAATCTTTTACTTATATTAGCATAATTGTCTGTGACAGATATCTCTTTTTCAAGTAATAAAATCTATTGCGGCATGTTTTTCAACCTTGACCTGGCTCTACATACATCATCAGCGTCTTTAAACTATTCCTACTTTCTTGACATGAGGCTTCTTTATAGATTTATGCCAGTGTCTTGCTTCCATTCTCTCAATTACATTTACAGTATTTCTCACAATCTGAAAAATAACTTATCATTGACACATGTCTCACCTTCCACATATGAAAATTTCATTCAGTTACTTCAGGAATTCTTGAAATTAGAATTTGAAGCATACCTCTGCATTTCATTCTACATGTGCTGAAAAGAACAGGCCAAAACATTTACATGGTTCTGTGTAATCCAGTGAATTCCACTGAAGTGCATAACAACACTGACCCTGAGCTGTCAATCAACATTTCATTGGACTTCACTTAGTTAACCTTAAATACGTTCTTATGGTTATTTCTTTAATTTTTTCAATCAGTGTATTAAAACAAATAAGGAAACTGATTAAACTATTTATGTTGTTAGAAATGTTAAATAACACAAAATAAAAGCATTAATATTGACACCCCCAAAAAATGTTTGGTTCCTTTTTCATCACTTCTCAATTAACCATTTTATATTTTCTATATGTCATCCTACTAGATTTGAATTAATGATGCAGAATCCAGGAAATTCTTAAATCCAGAATTCCCAAAGTTTTGATGATTCCAGTTCTTGGACTTTGTACAGTACAAATGATTCTAAACAAATATAAGATGTGGTGCTATTTTTGGGGAAATAAGCATATGTATCTTTCATTAAACATATTTTAACTAGAAAACATCATCACATTTTACCAGTAACATGCTAAAACAAATGATAGAATGTTTTATTCATTTACTAGTTATGAGCTATTTTTTTCTCTGACTTTGCAGCTTAGATGACAAACTCAAATTTCTACTTCAGAAATTTTATATCATGGAACAACTTGAGAACTAAACATAACATAAGACAATTTGTGCAAATGTTATCTGATGTCAAGCATGTCGTTAAGAGTACTAAATGGGGGAGGGAGAATTTTATAAAAATCGAGCGATATTAACTATATCTTCAAACACACAATCTAGTTGATATTACTAGACTTTTATCAGTTTTTTTTAAGTTAATTTCAGATATAAATTAAATGTATTTGAGACAAAGATCTTACACATTTTTTTTCCTAATGCATTATTTTAAAACTAAAGTTATGAATTCATTACCAAGAAGGTTAAAACTTACGTAGTGATAATGAAGTTTGCTGTTGACAAATGCTCTTCATTTCCTTGGTTACGAATTGCTTAATGTCACTAAGTGACATATTTGTAATTTCCTATAATTAACAGAAAAAAAATTACACAGAAATAATGTCTAACATTTAAGTCTCCTCTTCTTTCATGCACTGTCTTGAACAAATTGTTTAAATCAATTTACACAAAAGAAGTTATATTATACACTATTGTAAGTTCACAGAAAATGTCTGATATTTCCTTGCATATTTTCTCCCCTAGCTTTTAGCACCAAGTTCTGAAATAAAAAAAAAAAAAAAAAAAAAAAAAAAAAAAAGGGTATTCTGGTAGTTTTATCCTTCTTCAATGCATTCATATAGAAAAGAGAGAGAGAGAGAGAGCTCCCCTAAATTTTAAAATGGATTTGCCCCCATAATGTTTTCATCTTACTGACAAAGATAAACCCTTGCAAATTACTTGCGAATATCAAGCTAAACCATACCCTTCAAACTGTTGAATTTTATTGTCAGCTTAATACAAGAACCAAGCAATCACAGCATAGCAAACATGAAATCACAGTCTATGATATCCCTGAGTCAGTTTCACATTCATCTTGCTTTCACATCACCTTTTAATTATTTATGGATGATTTGAGACCTAAGAAGTAGTAAAAGCCAAGAATAAGAATGGAAGAAATTCAAGTTAAAGGGAAGTAGCAATGAAGATATCTGATTAGATATTGCAATGTTAATATTATTATATATTCTTACTAGAATGTATGTTACTTTTAAAGAAATAATATTGCAATAGTTACTTATAGCTTATCCAAGATTGCTTTTTATTCGTCATTTTCTTATTGTAAATATGTTCTTCAAAAATCAAATTATTTACATAAAATTTCCCTCTCTATTTTTGGACAGTAAAAGTAGTAAAAAAAGGGGACATATACAAGTAAATAAAGTATATGCATAGATGGATCCAAAAGTTTTGGTCTCGCATATAAAAAATTGTTAGGCAATAAATTCATCTTGTAGACATATAAGAACAATACTAAATGAATAAATTTGAAAGTTTCCCTAGAGAAATCTTATGCACTCCCTTTTTGGCTGTTTCTTGTTGTGATATGCTAGTTTATTCTGCAATATTTAAAACTAAATATATCATTCTATGAAAAAACTTTTAATTAAAGTAGTCTTAATCTCAAAGAAATAAAGCAATGACTGGATCACGTGTATGCTGATCAGTCTTCGTCCTATTCTACAATGAAAGAATGAGTAAAACAATTTTACATGAATCGAAAATCCACAGAACATGATTCTCATACTGATTGATCACTGGGAGCACTGATATCGGAAAATACTTCTTATGTCCAAGGGAAAATATTGATTAATAGGATATTAAAACTAAAGGAGACAGAAGCAAGATTGGATTTATCTTTAAAAAATTTTCTGTTCATTCTGCAAAAACAGTTTTATATGCTACAACAGGGCGGGCATCAAGTCGATCATGATCGACCACCAAGACATTTTAGGTGACCACGTTCACTAAGATCTAAGACACGCATACTAAAAGAAACAAATTTATGGAACATCCACGCCAGCTAGACTGTAGAATCAGCTTTTCATAATCAACATGACTATGTTTACTTAATCAAATGATTTGATGAATGTTTAGACGGCACATGTAACTTCATTGGATGCACATGATAACTGAAAGTATAAATTATATATTCTCTTTATCTCCTAAGGAAAACAAAGTTTTTCTCTTTAGAAATGACAAAATTTTAAAAACACGTAGTTTAGAAGCTAAGAATAACTTTTGGAATTTAATGGATGAAGTAAAGTATCCTAATTTAAAAAAAGTTGCATTTCATTTAACATCATTTTTTGGTTCTACCTACCTATGTGAATCTACATTTTCAGAGATGAATATAATTAAGATAACATATTGTTCCTGTCTCACAGACAACCATTTAGAATCCAGTGCAAGTTTAGCAGTTATAGTAATTATAAACAGGGATATTCAAGATTGGCGAGAGTATGCAGACTAAGTCTTCTACTAACTATAACTACAAGAATTAACTTTAGATGAAAATGACTTTTTTTAAATGTATTTTGAACTGTTTGATAAGAAATGCATCATTTGAAATTGTTATATTTGTGGCTATTATTATTAAGTTTGTATCTTGAGTTTTGCTTTAAACGTCGTTTTAAAAGAGTAAGTTTTTTTTTTTTTTTTTTTTTTTTAGGTAGGATTAAGTAGGTTTTAAAGCACACATTCCATATTTATTAGTATGCTATAATAAATATTGTAGACCTTTTTTTTTTAGCTCACCACACTAATGCCACTGGGTGGACCGCAAGACCTTGAAAAAAATTAGAAGTAGCCCGTATGCTGGAAAAGTCTGCCTACCCCTGCTCTACAAGATGGACACAAAGACTTTTTTATCAGTTCAAAAATATCAATGTCAGTTTAAGGAATTTATCACCTTCCTTACAGCTCATGCTTAGGTCCAACTTATTATTATCTGTTATCAAAACTGAAATCCGACATTTGTGGGAAAAGATTTAAAGATTATGATGGCATGAAAATAGTTAGAGCATTTTTGATGCAAAACCTTCACATTTCATTTTCAGGGACATAAATTTGGCCATTATACAATGTGAAAAGTACACAGAGGTACAATGAAATGACAACAAAAAATAAACTATTAAAACTTTATCTATTTCTATGAGAAGTATAACAGGATAAAAACATTTTCATCTGCCTATGTACATATACTGCCGTTCAAACAATTTTGCATAAAAATTAAATCATACATCATATAATTGAAATACTAGATGTTATTTATTATAAGCAAGAATGTATTATTAATTTGAGTATATACAACCATACATATTATAAAGAAATAGCAAATGTCTACATATAATTTAAATCCTTCAGTTTTTAAGAGTAAAGTAGTTTATAGATACAATAACATGCCAAACAAATATTAATTTAGAAGTCAAACAACAAAAATCAGCATTATATTTTTAAAGGACTAATTTCGATGGCTTTACCGAACCATCATAACCGAACCTATTTGTGCTTTTGCAGCTGATGATGATGGTTTGGTAAAACCATCAAAACTATTCCTGTGAAAATTTGAAAATATAATGCTGATTTTTGTTGTTTGACTTCTAAATTAAGAGTTTATAGAGGTTTTGCTGAAAAATATCATAAGTTTTTAGATATGTGAATTGGCCTGCAACACATTATTCTGCTAGTTTCATCAAGATTCAAACCATTTTATTGCAAATGAAAGCATTTTTTTATTATAACTGCTATTATTATTATTGCTAATGAAGCAGAAGTATTAAAGTTTTATGTATCTGAAGCTATAATACTGCTCAGTAAGAATTTAAAAATAAAGGAATGGGCAAATCAGCAATTCTTGAATGATTTAATTATTTTAATCTGTGAATGACAAGTGTTTAAAGACCAAGAAATGGAAAATGAAGATAAACAGTCTCAGTAAATGATTTACTGGACCCTCAAATAAAAATTTTGAAATGTAAAAAATGAGCAATAATTCTGTATTTATGAAAGTGAATCAAACACCAGTAGCCAGCAGAAAACACAAATTTGTTGAGGCAAATTTGGAGTGGTGAACTAAAAGTTTACCATTCAAACTTTGCACTTAGCACCCCATGTGGTATTATATATAGCAATATTAGCACTTAGCCACAGCCCGTGGCAATACTAACAGAAAAGTATGAAAGTGGCAATTATTTCTCTTGCTTTCTGATAATACCTTCATCTATACCATTTTGAACATTCAGCAGTTATCATTTAAACACAAAGTGGTTGTTTATGGGTAAGGCTAACTTTCCTTATTATTATTATTTTTTTTTTACTTCACAGTCCTCCATTCCCAGCTGAAGTAAAGGCTGGTGTTATCACAGGGTGAAAAACACAGAACATAGAAAATGAGGCACTGAATGATTAGAAGAAATTCAACAATAACTGCAGAAGGCTCTACACCAAAGGAGGATTTTATAATTTCAGGGGGATGCTGTCAGAATTTTATTTAGCTGTTAAGTATTTAGTTTTAGTTTATAAACATGAAAGCTAATTTTAATTAAAGTTTTGGTGTTTATCAATATTTTCTATACTTTTTGATGCTTAATTTATAAATAGTGCATTTAAAAATAATCTAAATAAATGTATATGTACTTTTTATATCTGAAAAAATGGGTGCATGATCTGCATGGATAAAAGGGGTGCATGGAGCAAAACATGTTGAGAACTGCTGCTCTAAACTGAGTGTCAGGTAACATTTTTAGAAAATGTCTTCAGCAATAGAGAGGCATTTTGCAATATATATTCAATCAAAGGTCGGAGTTGTAAGGTATATTTTAAATTTCTTTATTTTAATAATTCCAAAAACTTTGAATTTTAGATACACAGAAGCAAATTATTAATATTTATTTAATCAGAAAAATTATTTACAGAAGAACTTTCTGCTGCCAGTTAATAACACAACATGAAATCACATTTTTTTTTTCATTTCTGAATACTTTGAAAATACAAATTCTTTGATTTAGAATCAAACACCAGAACTTTCTTTTCTTACTGATCCCAAATTACTTGCAACAAATGCTAAATACAGCTAGAATTTGGAAAATAACCAAATCTGCTACAATTAAGGTGTTATCAAAAATCTGAAATCTCACGTTTTTAAAACTCTTATATAATTTCATTAAATATTTAACATTTCTAAATTAAACTGAATTTATAGTTATAAATTAAAAAATTCACATGAAATTTTTAAGAATATAACATATATATGTTATAAATATTTCTAGCAGATATCTAAGACAATTTAAAATTTATTGTATTAATTTTAATGCCTACATTGATCTTCATATAATACTTTTGTACTTTTTTGAAAACATAATAATGATAAATATTTAGCATATATTTCATTAGGCCAATGTATTTTCATGACTTAGCTAAGCAAAAGCTTATTCTTTAATTTCTTTTGAGAGAGACACGTTCTCACATTTCCTGCTTCCTGTACTCTGTTATTTTCTCAAATTAACTGTTAGGTTATGTGATCATATTAATTACACGGTATCTTCTATCTGTAACAGAACCATTCTTAGTTTCAAACTAACTTACTTAAGACAAAATACAAGGGGGCTTAATTTATGTTACAACATTTATTTTGAAATATAGACTTAAATATAACTGTATTAATATTTTCACATTCAAGTAATAAAAATATATGAAAGGTACAATTCATATTAATGCAATATCTAATTTCAAGGAATATCATAATCATATGTAACAAAATATAAATTATGTGAGATAAAATTCTTACACGTTGAGCTTGAAGTTGTTTTGCTTTATCACGAAGAAAACCAAATACACTAGTAAAATATGAATTTCTTATTTCTTCAAAAACCTAAAAAACTAAAAATAATAAGTAAATAGACTTCACAGCACAACTGAATGCAAGCTGCAGCATTCTTAAAATTGAGCAATGTAATCAAGAAGACATGTGACTAAAAACTTTAATATACATTTAACTATAAATCAATTTACACTTATGACAGAGATAAAAAAAACAAGCATGAATTTTATTCCTGAATTTTTCTAATTTGCATAAAATGTAAAAATTAGCTAACATAAAATTAAATTATATTGATACATATGCAACATTAAAAATATTTAATCAAAACACTAACTTTAATTTGCAATAGTCCTTTAACTCTTCATTTTAATTTTACCTTTTTCCGTTTAAAAATACTGTATACGCTCACATAAGGTCTGCTCTTTTTTTTACTAAAATTACATCACTAAAATGCAGGTGCGGACATTACACGATTAGTTCAAATGTCACGCTTTTTCACGTGAGTAATTTTGGGTGTAAATTTCATTTCAAACAGCGAAGTTAAAGTGGAAGAAAATGGCTTAAGTAATAAAAGTATCAAATTTAAAGTTGTCTAATAGCTACCTAAAATTTACAAACTCACTTTCTCCCATCCACATATATAATATAAAGTATCCTATTTACGTTATCAACACTCAGCGCATATTAGTTCATACAGGAGCACAACGTAGAAGCACAAATTAACCAACACTTGCAATTTTAATATTTACTTTTACACAAATTAAATAAATGTTGGTTCTTTTAATATCTTGCAATGATTATTTTTTAAAATAATCTGTTCTGATGCACTGTATGAAAATCCATTTCATTTCATCATTCACCGCAACCAGCCTTCACTCGCCTTGAATTGCGATGTAGAAATGTCTTCTTCTTGTGCCTCAGTAAGCACTCTTATTTGGCCCATTTCTCGTGTTACTGTGTAAATTTGAACATGCACATCATGAACATACATAACTACACTTTTTTTTAAGTTCAAAAACTTAGATTTCGAACCACGAAACACACGTCTTGTTTTGTTCATTGCCGCCAGTTGATCATGCTGTTTACTCCAATTGCGCACACACTTTTTGTCCACCTTATATACTCTTGCTGCTGCTCTTTTTCCATTTTCTTGCACAAATTCTATGACTTTCATTTTAAAAGCTACTGTATATTCTCATTTCAAGCATGCTACTTGCTAACTACTATGAATTCCATGATACTATGAATGAAAGAGAAAGCTTGAAATATGCGAATGCTTCCAAAGAGGAAGGAGAGGAAAGTAATTTCATTACAAAACAGTATTTCCTGGAAGCTAGTGTGGTGAATACCTGTTTGTCCTGTTTGCACCATTTATTATTGTGTCTGCAAAGTGCATTGCTGGCACCGATGTTATGACTGAATAACAGCTGCACCAGAATGCAAGGAAAGCCTGCTTTCCATCCTGGTGCCAACCAAAGACAAAACAAATGCATATTCTTTCTTTAAAGATGTTTATTGACTAATGTTATTGAGTAAAGGGGAAAAGGCAATGTGAAAAAAATATAATTTAAAGTAGGAAATTCTTTAGGTTTTTGGGGTGCGGACATTTTGCAGGTAACTTTTTTTTAATATAAATTTTATCTGTAAAGTTGGGGTGCGGACATTACACGAACGTATATGGTAGTAATAGTAAACTCTCTAAACTAGACCAACTTAAAAATTAATAGAAATCGTATGACTTTTACATAATGTGACGTACATGGTTTTGTGATCTGAAATGGGAAATAATAATGTTACAGCACTAATAATCCCCCAATCAAATGATACCAAAGTCGAAACTAACTCATTCTGGACTAACATCTTGAATACAAAACACTTGTTTTCTGCGCCCCCTTACTACCTTCCAAAATTTAAAGTTTTGAAAAAAGTTTTTAAACAAGTTTGCATTTGCATACTGCAGGCAATTTATGTTGATTTATTGAAATGTTTGGTCAACTAAAATAAAAAGGAACACCTTCAGCTGCAAATTATTCATTCTGCATCTGCAATGCATCATCATCATCTCAAGTATTTTTATAGCAAATTTGAACATTTGCACCATCAACGACATTATTACATATATATAATATGTAATAATACTAATAGCACATATAAAATTTACGGTATTAGGATGGTAAGTATTTTAGAAACATGGATGATAATTACACATATATCATAGTTCAGTTTTTTACTATTTTAAAGCTCACCAAATCACTGCTATTAAGAACAACTTTCACAGCTTCATCTTTTCCAGAAACTTCTTGGGGAAATACCACACGACCTAAGATAAAAAATATTATCCCTTACTTTTCAGAATAAAATATTTTCAGAAGTCTTCAATATATATTTTCATAAGCTTTAATACATCTGAAATGAATACAGTACCAAAGTCCGAGATCCAGACTCGTTGGGACTTCGGCAATTTCAAATATTAGATCATCAGTTTAAATCTAGTAAAATGGCATGTAGAAATTATAAAATTAAAACTACAAAATCATGATTTATAAAATATTGAAGCATTTTATGATCTAAAGGGTATCAAAATTAACAACAAAAAAAAAAAAAAAAAAAAAAAAAAAAAAACTTTATATTTATTTGTTTTTGTTATTAAACATTTCTTTGAATGTAAATTGTTTAAGTTGCTTCGTTTTTTGTAATAATACTTTCTCTTCAATTCTGTAGACAGACATAATTTCTTGTTCAGTTGCAAAGTTCCACTGTTCAAGTCCTGTAGTTGCTGTTTCGAGAATTGCGGATAACTTGTGAATTGATAATTTTGAATTTTCAATAAACTCTCTGTCACTTTCTTCACTATCATAATATCCAAAAGCTTTCAAATTCATGGCGGTCATCTTTATCCTTTTCCCCATGAAATATGGTAGCTGGCGATAAATTATGCCAAGCATTCTTTAAAGTATCTGGAGGCGCATACTCCACGATCTAGCGATGTTCCACTCAGCATATTTTATGCTAAAATATTTAAAACATTCTTGAATAGGCTTGCCATTATCCAGGAAATTTAACATGGATTTTAAAAATGCTACTTTATATTTGCATTTCAAGGTGCACACTATTCCGATATCCATAGGCTGAATGATGAACATATAGTTTGGAAGAAAGAATAACACGGATACATTGTCATTCATTAAAACTTTAAGTGAAATATGAGCCTAACAGTTATCTGTAATCGGGTAAATTTTTGCTTCATCAGGTAAACCAACTGGATTCAAATTTTGTTGAGTCTCCTGCCTGAAATGATTTTCAAACCAATCGTACATTAACGTTTGTGTCATCCATGCTCTTTTATTTGCATGATATATAACGGGGAAAATATTTACTCCTTTAAAATGCACGGTATAAAACATTAGTATTTGTATCAACGATGTTTCTATGCAGATGATGAGGTATTTTATTTAGTGTTGAAGTTAAATTAAGAATCCGGATTCTCCATATGTTTTCTTGCGGAGAAAAAAATCAAATGTGCATGCGTTAAGCATAGAAAAAATTCCTATAAAAAGGTTCTGTTGGTGGCTTTAAGGTCTGGATTTTAGATCATTCCAAATATTGGATGACTGGATCTTGGACTTTGTACTGTATATCATTATAACCTTGATTTTTTAGCTCTTCATATTTAAAAATTGTACTATAAAAAATTTCATGCTTTAGGAATACAAAAAATTCATTCAAATTATTCATTTCAAAATTATTCATTTCAAAACTGCATTCCAAAAGCATAAAAAAATTTAGGAATAAAATTTTGAAATGTTTTATCTTATGCTCAAAAGAATATCCACATGCATTTATCTTTTAATTTTTAACTATCATTTGATTTTAATGCAAAAAATAAAATTTCACGTACATCACTGAAAGTCAAAATTTGAAAATAAATAGCTTAAAAAAAAGATAATATTTTATTAAGTACATGATATAAGGTGATAAAAACTTCTTAACACTGCTGAAAATGCTCATGAAAATTGTCATTATGGATATATTAATTAAATATATATTGTCTCAGCTATGCTATTAAAAAACAAAGATTTAAATCATTAAGAAGTGCATATCTTGCTTTTCAATTGTTCAGTTTGTTCAGAATTTATGGATTAATGATTTGGAAAATAAATCAAAGATTATATATTTTTTTGGATGGCAACTTTTAGACAACGGACTATTCAGAAAACTGAAAATAAGGTAAATTAAAGACTTTATGTTTTCTGTAATGGCCAAATTCTGTTCATTTGCCAAAGATGGTAACCTAACCCAAGACCACTAATGCATTTCTAACATCAATAAATAAGCAAGTTATGATGTAAGTTAAAGATATAAGAATATTCTGTTTCACTTCCTTTTTCTCTCATATCATATTTAAAATAAAATCCTACACTTCTTTGATATTTACCAAAAAAAAACACCTCTGAATAGATCATTCAAATTCAAAAACTTTTTAAACATTATGAAATGGTAATTTTCTTTCCAAATATGTCTATGTAATACCCATTTAAAATTTTTATTATTTCTTTTCTTTTTCCAATGCAAGTAAACTTTCTAAAATTCTTCCCTTCTATTTTTTCAGTAATAAATATGTATTCTAGCACATTACTTATAACTAATTACAATATACACTGATAAGCCAAACATTATGACCATCCCCACATTTTTCAAGAACATATCTGGATGACGTGAAGGGCACATGATTAAGTGGGAATGGTATTTAATTGCTGCTGTAGAAGTTAAGGAATCCTTGTTGCACTTACACTTTTGTGAGTGATAGGAGTTGATCTAAGCGAATTTGATACAGATTGTAATGGCCCGAAGACTTGGAATGAGTACCTCTGAGGCAGCATGACTAGTAGTTGTTCACGACCCTGCCATTATTAGTGTTTACGCAAAGTGGATAAATGATGGTAAAACCAGCAGTAGACACCCAGGGGTTGGATGTCCATGCGGCATCAAGGAAAATGGATGTCAAAGATTGTCCCACTTGGTACAGCAAAATTAGCACCTGATAGTGGCTCAGCTGACAACCCAATATAATGCAAGTCCAAGTGGAAGTGTTTTGGAACACACAGTTCAGCGGACACCGTTGGATGTGGACTGCACAGCAGATGTCCCACTCATATGCCTCTGTTGACTAAGCGTCATTGCCAACTATGCCTACAGTGGGCCTGGAAACATTGAGACTAGACCATAGATAAAGTGGAAGACAGTCGCCTGGACAGATGAATCATGATTTCTCCTTCATCACATTGACGGTTATGTCAGATTATGCCATCTTCCAGATGAGCAGTTACTATTCCCCTGTACAGGTCATACACAGGCTGGTGGTGGCAGTATTTTGCTCTTGGACCCTTAGTTGTGGTAGAACAGACTTTGAAAGCTGCTGATCAGCATGACCTTGAAAGGTACTGAACATAATTGTGGATCAGTTGCATCCTTATATGCCATCTGTCTTCCCGACTGGAAATGGAATCTTTCAGCAGGACAATGCAACATGTCACAAGGCTTGTTTTGAGGAGCATAAAGATGAATTCCAAATTATGTCCCAACCACCTAACCTGCCAGATCTTAATCCAATAGAACACATTTGGGATGTCGTAGAGCAGCAGTTCAGAGTTCAAACACCACCATATCGGAACATCTTGACTTTGCATGACCAGAGTAGCCTCGAATTCAAATTTCCTTTGCAAAGAAAAATTTGGAAAAAGATGGTCATCTTTAGAATTCAGTAAGTTCACATTTTGTTTCAAATAGGTTTTCAGTTTTTAGCTGTTTAAAGTTCAGATTAGATTTTATACCATTTATAGAAATCTCTTCTGAAATGTTTTTGTTTTCTTGATATTAAAAGTTTAGGATCGCATAATCGGGGACTACCCAATTTTTAAGTGTTGTTTAAATGGCAATCTAATTTGAAATATATTTGTTTTGCTCTTCAATTTGTAATTGTTTTTGAATGTTGGATTTACATATAATGTTATTTGACCAATTTTTTTCTTGAGTAGTCAATTTAAATAATGTAAATTTTTATTGTTTTTTTGAGTAGTCAATTTGGCACAATGTAATGTTTTATTCTTTTCCCCAAGTGTTTCAAAAGTGCATAGGGAAAATTCTGGATACATTTGAGATTCGATTTTTCGGTTTTAAAAGAACTTTCATGTCTTAAATGAAAATTTATGGTTTTTGATCTCAAATGAACCAGAAGAACGAAACCTGTATTCGAAGCATATTAATCGACTTTTATGAAACTTTAATTCATTTTCCCCTGACAAGTTCTGAATCAGTAAAGTTTCAGTAAAAGGAGATTGATTTTTATATTTTTATCATTTTGTATATTTTTCCCTTTTCGCATTTTTATTTTTCGAGTTTGTTCAACTCATGAATTCTTATTTTAATTTTGATATGTTTATATACAATGCTAAACCTTTTATCCATAGTTGCAATTACTAATATTGTTGAGGAATGGCCTCGCTTTGATTCCAATTTAATTTGAACTTTAGTAGATGCTTTGAGTTTATATACATATATGTAAGATATAACAAAATATGATATCCTTTGATTCTCTAATCATTCTGAAATATGTTTATCAATTTCACGCTGTTCTGCGTGTGGACCCTTTAGATCATAATTGCTTTTTATTTCATAAATTACCGTTTCATATTTTTAATGTTATAATTTCTGCATGCCATCTTACCAGATTTAAACTGATGATCTATAATTCAGAAAAACCGATAATCCTGAATCGCCAAAGTCCCATGAATCCGGATTAAAGACTTTTGACTGTATATGAATTAAAATTATATAAGACACAATATGTATATAATTATATAATGTTAATTTTAACAGAAGAAGTTGAGGTTAAAAAAAAAGATTTTGCCCCTCTTCTTATTTTACATAACTCAGATTATAAAGATAAACTTGTTGTTTTTGTTTAAATATGTCTGTTTAATTTTTTTTAATTGCATACTCTTTGTTACACAACGCAAGATAAAAGAAAATTTTCTTTCATTAAAATAATTACATAACGTAGCCCAGATAACTGGAGTTCTGTAATACTGTAATAAAATTGAGCAGAGAGAGAAAATGGTTTAATTATGCTTCATAAGCATATTCACACATTACTTATGGAGCACAATTTCTGGTTATCACACTTGAAATACATTCATGGAATTTAAGTAGCTAAAATATAATGCCACTTAATTTCCATGACTTTAAATCATTTAAAATTATATTTTATACACTAAAAATTTATATCAAAATTACCAATTTTGAATATACTGTGAAAGCAAATTAACATGTTTATACTTTTTCTTCATATTGAAGATTACTTTAGATGCACTACTATTTTTTTATTTCTTCAGCAATTTACTAGTTTCTTGCAGAAATATCAAGAAATTTATTCGTAAAGTAACTTTCTCCATTTCAAAGAAATAATTGCACTGGTATTAGTGAACTATATATATTATATAATATTATTTGTAATAATAAAATTCCATAGTCAAGAATACACTTAAAATTCTAACTGTATGTTCTTTTCATTTTTAATGGAGACGTTCTCTTATTTGAAAGCACGTGGAATTAAATCCACAGCCCCATAGTCAAGTTGTTCTTCCCGCCTTTTCTACACGTACAGTTCTAGAATGTTCTGGAAATATTTAAAGCGAACTGGATTGGCTGACGTCATTTCTTGGAAGCTCCGCCTTTCCAGAGGCTATAAAAGGACTCGCAAAGGAATATCTGAGGGTTTTTTTTAAATGTCACGATGCAGTAAACTTCATACAAAAAGTTATTAGTAATTCTTTTTTATTTACTCCGGAGATCAGATTTTTGTAATTGCTATTTCCTCTGAAATATAATAAATGGATCCTGTTTTTTAAACTTATCGTCTGATAATTTAAGCTACGACTACGCCTATGATTCTTCACAAATCTATTTATTCCGGACAAAAGCTGGTACATCACATATTATATATATATATATATATATATATACAGTCAAAAGTCGTTAATCCGGACTCGTCCGGACTTCGATTCCGAATTATCGATTTTTCCGGATTATAGATCATCAGTTTAAATCTGGTAAGATGGCATGCAGAAATTATAAAATTAAAAATATGAAACCGCAATTTATGAAATAAAGAACAAGGGTATCAAAATTTACCAAAAAAAAAAAAAAAAGCTTAATATTTATTTGTTTACTTTACTTTCTTCGCTGTCGGAAGGAAGCGAATTATAATGACGAGGAATTTGATTTAAATCATATCAAAGATGCAGTACATTAAGATGAAATACTACATTTAGTAAGGAATTATAAGCCAAATAAAATAAAAACATCTGCCCTGAAGATAAGGATAGTGCTGACAGATCAACTTCCAATTCATTGCGCGCCACGGAGTCCCCCCGCTGCAGAGCAGCGTGAAATTGATAAACAGATTTTGGAATGGTTAGATAAACAAAGGATATGCCTTTATCCATTTTTTTTGCAGCAATTCCACTTTTTGTTTAATGGACTTCGAAACATACTTTCGCTTTGTAGATCCTTTACATATTAGTAAATACATACGGAAATTCTATTTGACATAATTGAAAGTTCAAGCTTACTTTTATAAAATTGCTCTAACAATCTGCAAAAAATAATAAGCCGGATCCAATTCGAAGATTAAGGAACAATGCAATCTGCAACATTAACTGAACTAGATAATTTTAGCTTAGCTTATACCGTCCATTATACATTAAACGCGCATGCGTAAACGTATATTGGGCATGCGCACACGCATATTCGCAGCCGTAAAGGTCTTACGCGCATGCATCAACGTGACGCATGCACAGAAAGTTTGTAGCTTTGAGGTCCGGATTATAGATCATTCTGAATTATGGGTGTCCGAATTAACGACTTTTGACTGTGTATATATATATATATATATATATTAATATTGGAATTTATATTTTGCGTATATATATATACATTTATGAAGGACTATCATCCTATCATCTAAAGTTCATAAAATTTAAGAGGATAAAGTTAACTACTTGCCCACATATGAATATTTTTTATGTTCACATATGGTATTCTCACACTCTTGTTAAAAATATATGGCTTAGCTGCTTTCATTTCAAATAATGAGTTACTGTGGTCTACCCTTTTTTATCATCAATTTGCAATTAATTAAACTGATTAAAATATATAATGTGCATATGCATATTAAATTTTGCCCCCCCCCACACTAAATAAAATACTGCAGAAATAATTTCAAATGTTTAAGCAGCTTTTGGCAAAAAATTTTTAGGTTAGATAGTAACTTAAAAATGTTTAAGAAATGCACAGATGACACCCAAAAAACTTGGGATCTGCATTATAAAAATACAATTGTTTACACCTTGCTCACTGCACAGCAATTTTTGGTATCCAAAATTATAACATTTTGCTTTCACCCCTCATTCATAAGGGTTAATTCTCCATGATTTTTCTCTTATCTAAAATAAAATGAAGTTAAAAGGAATCTATATGATTAAAAGAAAAGATTTAAACAGCTTTAAAGATTTAACAGCTTTAAGCAAAGGAAAATTACAGGTAGTACCCAATATTCTTACAAAAGATGATTTAATTAAAGACTTCCAAAGCATGGAAAAATGGGCAGCTTTGTTGTTTATAATCCACTGCAGACAATTTAGAAGATAAAGGGAAGAATGAGATGTCAGATGCATTTTATGAAACTTCGGGTAGTTAAAAAATATCTATAATAAATCAACTTAACATAACTTATATACACTGCACAAAAATGAAACTAGCAATAAGTATGTATAACAACAAGATAACTTACCATTATTGATCCTGAAAGTCTCATCCAACAGACCTTCATATGTCAGTTGTGACAGAAGTACAGAAATATAATCTATATCTTAAAAACAAAACAATATATATTTATATGTCTGAAGATGAAAACAGTCTCACAATAAGCAGTATTGGAAGTGTCACAATAAGCAGTTTGGGAATGTAGGACCATGATATCTCACTTAAGAATGTTCAATTCCTATATCTGAATCCTGCCATCATGGCATGCAATGTTATCTGGGTCCTAGCATGAAGTGTGATAAGATATTTCATCTTAACTGCACCCTACAACTAAAGACTACATTCTGCCAAGAAAAGGGAATATTAAGTCTCCTTTGGATTCATTTAACGACAAGGATGCCATAAATATGTACAACAAGTATTGCCCATGCAATGTTTATGAAATAAGTGATTAATCATACAGTTTCATGACTTTTATATAAGGTATTTAAAGATACAGCACATTTATACATCTGCAGAATTATCAAAACTGAATTATTTTATTACCATATACATATAGGTAAAAATCGAAGGAATAGTAGAAACATCACTAAAAATATATTCTAAGTGGAATGGAATATACTAGAATATATTCCATCCCACTATAACTGAATACATTCCTCTAGAATAACAAATTATGTTTAGGGCCATCAATATAATCTTAGTGAGATAACTTTTAGTTAAGTATAATAAAATGAATAAAACATTAAAAATTTTAATATGTAAGCCTCAAGAAAATGCAAGCAGGAATTTAATCAAAAGAAAAATCGGTAATTGAGATAGCTTAACTTCAGTTTCCTGAGTGAAATCCGGTAAGTATTTAAATTATAACATTCATTAGTAAAATGACAGTTCAAGCTGCAGTAACTTTAGTTGGAATTCTAGGCATGATACCTTATTAGCAAAGCATTCTGATACAGAAGAGGTCATGCTAAAAGACGTTTACAGTATATAGTAAAAGACTGACTATTTGGCATTTGACTAATCAAAAACCTCAAGTAACAGGAATATTTTAGAATTTTAAAAACTCCCCCCACCTCTGGAAAAATTACACAAATTAAAGACTTGAAAAATCCATTATAAAGTATGTACCGGATATTGTCACCAAATAGTGTGATTTAGCACCAATAATAGATTAGCGTGATGTCACAGTACAATTATAACATCTTCCCATTGATTTGATGTAAACATGATTAATTCTTAATAAGCTCAATAAGTTTTTGTAAAAAAGGATATAAGTTATCTGCTATTTATCTGTTTTCTCCTCGCATTTTGAAAGGGGGAAAAAATTAAATTTGGGAATTGCTTCTATGGAACAGTATGCAGCAGTATGTTTTCACTGTTGTGGGATCCTGGCATCAAGAAAAGTGTGCATTAATGGGATTGAGCTTGATATGAGACTTTATTTGAAAATGTTAATGAACAAACAACAGTGATGCAACATGAAACCATTATGATAATTCCTGTGCTAAATCCATACTTTGCATCTGTTAATTATCTAAGAAAATAAAGAATGATCTGTTTCTTTAGACTTCTGCTGGAATGATTGGTACAGGCTTGGTAACATCTCTACCAACTTTGATGGTTCACAGGATCTCAAAATCAGATAAGATATTTTATTTTCATATCTCATAGGCTCAAAAAATACTTTGTTTTTATGCCCGACATGCACTTTTTAAAAAAAACTGCTTGCATAATCATAAATTTAGGCTTTTGATATTCAAATTGATAAAAAAATATTTTTTTTTTTTAAACTTTAGGCTGGAAATTTCTTCCATTCATTTAACTTTTCTACCATAAATTTTATACACTCAGTTATCTGGAATTTCCACCTATCTGGCATTCAGCACTTCCCAAGTTTACAAGATAGTCAAGCTTTTACTGTACACAACAAATTCCATACTTTATTATTATTACCTCTGTCTAACACAATTAAATGGGATACACTGTCAGAGCTAGGAGGTTCACATTTTAATTCTTTCATCATGAGATTCATCATATCAACAACCATCTATAATTAAATAGAGAAATCTCATTAAAAACCAATACTAATTAGGAAAAGCAAATATAATGCAAGGAAAAGCAACAATTATTTTAGAACACTTACTTAAATTTTACCTCAAGAAATAACACTACAATTTAGGAGTTGTATAACACTGAATTTTATGAAATTCAAAATTTACCATTTCAATAAATGGCAGTTTAAATAACACTTCCATATTAATGTTTTGTTAACATAAAAGATATCTTTAGAAATGTCCATCCAAAAGGTTCTAACAAAAAAAAAAAAAAAAAAAAAACCCACTATGTATATATTTAAATGCAGTTTTAATTATACACCCGGGAATTTTGTCCCACAAGAACACATTTTTTTGACTGAATGATGACAAACATTTTTCTATTTGTTTCTTTTTCCCTTACAGTCCCATATAAAAATTTGTTTCATGCAATTTATGCTATGATATCACACAATAAAAAATATGGCGAAACTTGAAGACTTATCTTATTTCATTCAGTTTTTTAAAAAGTTAAAATGATGGTTTTACATTCAACTCCATTCAAGAGATATTTAGTTGTGCAAGCTTTATGACGCATTCTGTATATAATCTCCAGTTACAGGAATAACATTTGAGAAAATACAACTTTTTTTTTCTAACAGCAGACACTATTTTGTCCTTTTTCAACACTGGCTACTCCTAAGGCCATTGTGAAGGCACCATTAACTCCAATGAAGGGATGGAGAGTTACACCCATGCCTTCTCTGAGATTCAAACCCGGGCCTTTCGGTATCATAGTCGGCTCTCCTAACCACTAAACCATCTGGGCGGCAGAAAATACAAAATGTTCTTCCTGCAGTTCAAAAATTATGAAGGCATTTGCATGTGATTATAATAAAAATCCTATAAACAGCTAGGGAAAGAGTGTAAAGAGGAATTAAAAGTAGACTAATTAGTAGTTAATTTAAAAACAAAACGTTCAGTAAAACATGCTTAGGGGAGAAAACTTTGGTACTTTTCTGTTAATGCAGCACCACCTAATATGAAACATAAACATTACTCTGAAATCAACTAGATGGAAGCAATTCTAATGACATGTAAAAGCTTCATGGGGGGGGGAAATCATATATATATAATGTTTAAGGTATGCGATGCTCAATTTGTGCAATTCTCTGATTTTTTTTCCAAGCGAAACAAATTGCTGTGTACACGAGGAAAACAAAAGCATGGCCTGGGTACACAGAACAGCTGTTCATGATGTAACATACAGAGGCTACCTCATTTGGGGATTTGTGCTCCATTAACAGAAAAGTACCAGGATTTTTCAGCTAAATATATTTTCATAAACTTCAGTGAAAATTGTTTATGAATTTCTCTCAGTATTCCTAAAGAATTTGATTCCTCGCCCACACGCAGTTAAACTGCACATTACTACTAGCAAACAAACAAATGATAAAAAAGGTCTAATTTCTAAATTTATCGAAGAAGAAGAAAACTTGTAAAATGTTTTGTGTAAATCACATTTTCAGAACAAGCTTTATTTGGTAATGGTGTAATATGCGATCTACAACTTTAATTTATTTATTTATTTTTTAGATAGCATCCCTAAAATTAGTTGTAATTTTTAAAAAATTCTTTTTTAACAATTCTTTCTGCAGTACCATTAGTATTAATACTGTCGGCAGGATTAACCAAGTTCTTGTGAATCCTACAGACAGTACTAATACTCGAACAATTCAATTGTACTGGTGGGTTTTGAAGCTAAAAATTTAGCACAATGCCATAAATACTTCTATGTTATCTCACAGAAGCATAGTGAAGACCCATAAATAAATGCGCTGACTGTTTTTTGGCCATGCTGCATGACATTTGTAATGTATGCAGCTGAATAACTCATAAAAACAGTCCTTTTAAGAAATATTTCTGCTCTGTTTTGTAAAATTGGAAGCGATTTAAATTTAATGGAATAAAAAATTTAAAGTTATCAAATTAATTAATGAAATCATTTTTATTTACACATTTTTTATTATTTATATTTATTCTTATATTTAAAAATAGTGTTTTGGTGGTACTACCTAAGAACTAACTAACCACAAGTTGTAGATCGCATACAACATCATTACACATTATTCTATTACATAAAAAGAATTCTCACAATTAATATTTTGTTAAATAGATTTTAACATCCTGAAACTTTTCAGAAAATATCTTTTCCGAAGTGTTAGTTAATACCAAAATTTTCATCAATGAAAATTTTACACACAAGAGCTTAATTACACAATTTGTATAACATGGGATTTAAAAAGACATTTACTAGATCTAACTGAAACCTATTATTACTCACCTTGGCACACTTTCCTTGGCCAGATATTTTGGTTATAGACCCACAAATCTTGCACAACTGTACTAAAGACATTGCTGCCGTATGTATGTAAGTGAGATCATTCTTCTAAAATAATAATAATGATAATAAGCTAAGTAAATCAATATAAAGCAAAACTCAAATTTAAGACACAATTCCTTTCTGCTTATTATGACTTGTTTTTTGAACTGTAAATTTGAATATGCATAAAAAATTACAAATTTCTAACAGAAAAGTATCAAAATATTTATGCATGTATGAACTCCAAATGTACTCAAATACACTTTTAGAAACACATACGTTGTTTTTCGAAAAGGTAAATTTTTATTCATTACTTCACAAATTGCCAAAATATTGCAACGGGGGGGGGGACTGCTGTAAACCCTCTTGTGATCTCTCTAGAAGTTATAACACCCCTCAAGATAATTCTTTCAGAGGCAATGCCTTTGAAGATCCTATAATAACAACATCGGAACATAATTTAACATCTTCATTAAATATAACTTCTTTAATGCTACCACCTCTTAACTCTTTGAGGGGCAGAAAAAGGCAATTAACTTTTTCAGAAAAACTTTTTGTTTTATTTACTATATCAGGTGTTATAATGAAATTATTTGTGACAATTGCACATATTCTGAATTGTCATGCATCTTGCATGACAAAAAATGACCACTTCTGGTGGTTAGTGTCAGTGACTACCACCCACAGAATACATCCCTACAAATCAATCTCTATGGTACTCATGGAAACATTTTTTTCTTTTTCAAGCAGAGTGCACATTGTCATGATGATGTCTTCGATGTCTGATGCTTATTTTCTTGAAGATAAATTGCTACATCAACTACTGGCTTATATTTCTTTATTGCCATCTAGTGAATTACAAGGGAACTTCAGAAACAGTCAGTCTTGAAAACCACTCACACGAATGAGTAAGACGTTCAATAGAAAAGGTGGTTACTGTAGGTAACCACCGCCCTTCAAAGAGTTAAGGCCGAAATCATCTGGACCTGCAAACAGTCATCTTAGCAAGGTTCACTATATTTCAATCATTTACATTTTATGATGATCACTTTTCTAAATGTCACATATTTGCTAATCAAAGTTATTTTCATATCTGGCACCAGGTTTTCCTCTAACTAGATCCAGTTTTCAAATTCTTCGTTTATGGTAAGTTCAGAATAAAATAAATAAATAAATAAAGCTGAAATATTTTTCATACCAACTTTTATAAATATCACTCAGCACATCAAAACATAAATTAAGAAAAATATAAAAATCTGAAGACACAAATGCTGAATTATGCAGAAAAAATGGTAATGCAAATTTGATCAGATGTCTGAGAATAAAATGTTCACATATAAAACATATTGGTATAGATACAAAATTAATTATAAGTTACTCTTTTATATGTGTCCTTAAAATAATAAATTGTTTTGAACAAGATGCTCTTAAAAAAAGCTAATACAGTCAAAAGTCGTTAATCCGGATTCGTTGGGACTTCGGCGATTCCGGATTATCGATTTTTCCGGATCCGGACTATAGATAATCAGTTTAAATCTGGTAAGATGGCATGCAGAAATTATAAATTAAAAATATGAAACCTTAATTTACAAAATAAGAACAATTATGATCTAAAGGTTATCAAAATTTACAAAAAAAAAAAAAGCTTAATATTTTTTTTTTTACTTTATTAAACATTTCTTTCAATGTAAGTTGTTTAAGTTGCTTCGTTTTTTATGTTTGATAATACTTTCTTCTCTTTAATTCTATAAACAGACATAATTTCTTGTTCAGTTACAAAGTTCCGCTGTTCAAGTCCTATAATTGCTGTGTCGAGAATACGACTAATTTGTCAATCGAAATTTTTTCGTTTTCAATAACCTCTGTCACTTTCTTTCGCTATCGGAAGCGAATTATTATAATGACGAGGCATTTTGATTTAAATCATATCAAAGACGAGATGAAATACTACATTTAGTAAGGCAATTATAAGCCAAATAAAATAAAAACATCTGCTCTTAAGATAAGGATAGTGCTGATAGATCAACTTCCAATTCATTGCACGCCGCCGCGGCGTTAAAGATAAACAAAGTTTAGATAAACAAACGTTAAAGTTTAGATAAACAAAAGATATGCTTTTATCCATTTTTTGCAGCAATTCCACTTTTTGTTTAATGGACTCCGAAAGATACTTTCGCTTTGTATATCCTTTACATATTAGTAAATATATATCGGAAATTCTATTTGACATAATCGAAAGTTCAAGCTTACTTTTATAAAATTGCTCTAACAGTCTGCAAAAAATAATAATCCGGATCCAATTCGAAGATTAAGGAACAACGCAATCTGCAACATTAACGGAAATAGATAATTAGATAATTTTAGCTTAGCTTATCCCGTCCGTAATACATTAAACGCGCATTCGTAAACGTATTTTGCGCACGCGCACACGCGAATTCGCAGCGGTAAAAGTCTTACGCGCGGCGCGTAATAGTTTTTCTAAGAGGCGCTCCACAGGTTTTTCTTTTCTCAATTAAAGATTCCATTTCAATAAAATATATTAAATAAAACCAATAAAATTACCTTGACTTCTTTTATTGATCAAGTCTGTCACCAGTTGTTCAAGATTTGCAAGAACTAACCATTCTCCTTTCTCCTAATACACTTAAAATAAAATAATTTTACATCCAATATTCCAAAGTGTCATGTTTATTTTCAAAATCCGTAGAACTACAACAAAGATCAGGAGGTTGCCACTCTTACAATGGCAAACTATGAAAGAAAGATAACAACCGAGGCTTGGTTCTAACACACAGTTCCATCTGCTCAACTTTTTTGTTTCAAGTTTTAAATTTATTTCATATATTAAAAACTGATTCAAATGTTATAAACTATCACATTAACTTTTTATACTGCACAGTGTTTTATATTTTATGAACAACATCCCAAATAACTTTTCATACTGCACACAAAATTTTATATTTTATGAACAACATCCCAAATTTTTAAGATTTCAGACTCGAAGATGCTAAAACAGGAAATGCAGAATTACAAATGAATTAAAATTATGCACATCATCATCAATTTTTTAAATAAATACTATAACATATTAATTTCATATTATTCATAAAGGCAAATTAGGTTAAGTTATTTGAACATGGCAAAGTACACGAGGGATGCCTGAGGGGTGGAACGTCTTCATGAAGGACCTTTTAAGAGTAGTCAGCTTGTATTCACATTACACACGAGGAAAACAAAGAGAACTAACCATGCAACTAGCCTGTTCATCTGGGTTTAAATGTCTGAACCCATGACAAAACTACTAGCATTCAGCAGACTTTTAAGTACTCAGTCACTGGTAACACTCTATTCATAAAGGGAGGAAAAAAAAAAAGACTTTGTGGATTTAAAAAAACCTCTTTTTTATTAAATTAATATATATACAGGGAGTCTCATAAATTTCGCCAAAGTTTAAAAAACATACAAAATTAACAAACTGGCACATCAGAGTGCAGCTTAAATCTAAAGACTTAATACAGATGAGATTTCTTAACATAGAGTACATTTTAATTTAAATTCTCACCAGCAAATAGCATTGTTAGCAACATATTATAAGAAAGAATAAGAAAGATTAATATTAAATGGCATTTGTTCATTTGTATTAATGAGTTATGTCAAATAAATTCACTTTTGTGTTAAGTTTCTGGATGCAAACTACATGTGGTATGCCAATCTGTTGATTTTGTAAGCTTTTTTTTTTTTTTAATGAATCTTAAATTCTTGGACTTCGACATATAGCTAATACTTCAATGTTTCTTTCTGTTTAAATAAAAGCAATTTTTATACAAGTTTTTTTACAGACAATAAAATGTAGACATGTATTTAAAATTGAATGGCTATTTGGAATTGGAAGACTATTACATACCAAATAAAACATTCTGTAAAAGTCAGAAATTTCAAGAGAAAATAGATCTTTATCTATGGGTAAAAATCCAAGAGGAAAATCCAACAAAGTAGCATTTCCATACACACCTTCTCTTTCAAGGACCTTCTCACATTTATACAGCTAAAATGAAATATGATTATAATTAAAAGCTCCTCATTTATAAAACTAAAATCAAATATGATTATAATTAAAACTCACAGAACAAATTACCCTCGACACCCCCAAAAAGAGGTAATTACCTAAACAACAGCAACAACTCACCAAGTTTATTTAATGCTTAAATTCCTAAAAAACAAGTCAACTACCTCTCTTTAAAAGTAACATTATTTAAAAGAACAAAAATTTACCTTAAAATAAGATTACATACCATTTAATGAATCACTTTTTCATAATTTGATCAGTGTTATTATTTGCTCACACATGCCACTGATGCTGCATCAAAATTATGCATATAAAACAAAAATCTTAATACATAAGCCACACTGCTTTGTATTAAAATATTTGTAATTAAAAAAAAACTTTTATGTCCTAAATACATGTAATGCAAGGGCATGAAATTATTTGCAAAAGACAATAGATTTTCTGTTTATGAGCAAAACAATTTCTCGGTAGCAGGACTATTGCAAAAAATCTGTCAAGTTAGAGAAGAAATTAGCTTATTTTAATATGAGGTGCCAATAAATACCTCACTAATTTATTATGGCAAAATATTTAGGGCTTCATAGCGAGTTTTCTGGGGAAAACTATCTTTTATTTACATAGCACATGTCAAAAAGCATATTTAATATATTTAGCTGCCAGGAAATTGAATCCCAGATACACTATTAGGATCCAATGCCTCTAATATTGGCTTCTAGTGACTGAATAGAATGAAAAAAAAATTACGTTTCTAAAATGGTTTTAAAATTTAGCTTACCAACAATCATTTTTATCAAGAATTATATTTTTTCAGAAATTTTATGTATATTTCCAGGTGTACATGCAATTTTTACGTAAATTTATAGGCTAGACACATCATTCAGTTTTGAACTTGATAATCTGCCCTTATTCTCTGATAAAATGCCCATGATAAACTATATAAGAAAGAATAAACTATATACGAAAGTATGATAGTTAAATGTTTTTTACAACAAACTAAAAATTTTTATGTACACAGCTTTGAGCTGTTTTTATTGGAAGGACACACAGTCAGGAGCAGTTTTTTAACAATTACTTTTAAATACCTTATCTATACCATAATTTGCTGTTTATGTCATCACAAAAGTACAAATATATATATATATATATATATATATATATATATATACGACTGTTTTATATGTAGCAAAATATATATATATATTTTGCTACATATAAAACAGTCGTTTTTGATTTCCAACCACTTACAAAAGACTATTGATTTCAGTCTTTTTTGCTATTGCCACAAGAAATATTTTTTTAAAAAAATAATTTTCACTTCATGCGTTGCATCTGAGACACTTTAAAATTTTTCCAAAATGATAAATTGGGATGCTCTTCTGCATAGTATTTCGGATGGATTTTACACAGTCCACAGCAAGATTATGTTCTATCACCTGCATAATAATTCCATGTCACATCTTCTTCATGCTAGTGTAACAATTACACATATCAATATTTTTTCCTTATATTCTTTTAGGAAAACCAAAGTGATGACATTGCATTGGTATATATAATAACTACTACAGTTACTCAATACTCGCATACCATTTGAGTTTTTAAAGTCACAAGCTAACTTGGATACCACTGTTGAAACTATGCCTCTGGCCTCAGAGTAACGTAACTTTTTTCTCTGCTTTTCTTCCCATGTACAGAATGATCTGTTTTAGCTTCAATAAACATCACAGAATTGCAAACACTCAGCATCAGCATAACTTGGCACTGTTACTTCTGTTCATGTACACCAAGGATGTCAAACTCGCAGCCCGCGGGCCGCATGCGGCCCACAACAAATATTTTTGCGGCCCGGCCAATATATTGGCAAATAATAATATATAATAATAAAATAACATATCGACGAAGAAAAAATTTTAAATGTTTACTGCTAAGTAATTAATGATAATTTATTCAGTGTTGTTAGATTACTCACAGCGAGCTGACACACACACTACTTAAATTACAAATGCAAGTAAGTAGCTTGCATTCAGCTACCTTCGGCTTTTGGGGAACACGTGCACTCAGAATTTGTACGCATCCCCCGATAGCTGAATATAGCCAAACTCATGGTCTTAGTTTTCCAATCATAGTTTTGTATGATATATTGGTGCATGCATGTGCATGCACTTGCTTTATTATTAATTATTACTTAATTCATATTGTTACGGATTTCATAGTTTTTTATTTATTAGTCCAAAGGGATTTGAATCCCGAAGGACTATTAGTTTCGTTTTGGCATTTTGCGTCGGACGGATAAATGGCGGTATACTTTTCAAACTGTTGCCATAAAATGTTAGAGTCCTGCATTATATTTGAAGAAATTAATAATGAAAATCTGCGTAAATGTATGTATATTTCTCACATTGTCATAAAAAACGGTACATAGAGTCATCGAATTTTGAATAACGTAATCCTCCAACGAATATGAGCATGTGGAAGACCAAATTTGAAATTTGAAATTTGTTTTATGATCGATTTCCTATTTTTTAAAACTTTGACGAATTTTGATTAACAAACTCAAGGATTTCAAAGCGAGCAATGGCAACGTTGTGCAGAAAAAACATTTTTATCTCCAGCGCGTTTTGGACGTAATTTAAAATCTGAAACATTTCAGATTTTTTTTTTTTTTAATTTAGAATTGTAATTAGATTTGCTTCATGTTGCCTTAGCAACGCAGACAATTTTTTAAAAGACAGCTGCGTTGGAAGGTTAAAAATAGAACAGCGCGTGCATTTAATACCTAATAAATAAATATCTCGTAATTGCTGTTGCCATCCACAAAAATCCAGATATTTATAGATGTTTTCCAGTATATTCGAGAAATTAATTATAAAGCTTATAAAAGCCAAGAACAAACAACTCATTCAGTAGTAGCTGTAGTTCTAGCGAACTGTTTGTTTACTTAATGCTGTGATTGATTGTAGCGATTCATTCTGCTGTGAGAAAATTGAAGTTAGTTTCTCTGTTTTGAATTGATTTTTGCTAAATGTTTGACATTTTGTGATATTGTTAGAATATTTTTGAAGAAATATTTCAGCATTTTGATTTATCCTCCTTGTGGAAGAATAAATTTTTGTTAACTTTTTAACGTTAACCGTGTTTATTCCAGCCCTTTGTATTCAGTATGTCTATATAAAAACCAAGTGGTAGTAAAATTAAACGAAAAAGTGCTGACAAACATAGAATATTTTAAGTAAAATGGAAATTAGAATATTTTTGCTGTGAAATAAAAGACAAAATAATCTGCTTGATATGTAATAATACTATTAATGTACCAGAGTTATATAATATTAAACGTCATTACGAACAACACAAATCGAAATATAACAATTACGAAGGATTAATGAAAGAAGAAAAGTTGAAAGAGCTCAAGTTAGGAGTGAAAAAGCAACAGTCCATGTTTAGTAAAGTATTGCAAGAAAGTGAAGCGGCGGTACATGCAAGCTATGTCTTGTCCGATTTGATAGCTAAACATTCGAAGCCTTTTACTGACGGTGATTTCATCAAGGAATGCCTAATGAAAGCTGGAGAAATTGTTTGTCCTGGAAATGTGAAGGCTTTTCAATCAATTTCATTGTCTCGAAATACAGTTGCAGAAAGAGTTACTGATTTAGCCGCAAATTTAAGTGATCAGATCAAAGCAAAATCACCTAGTTTCGAAAGTTTCTCCATTGCCTGTGACGAGAGCACGGATATTAGTGGCAAAGCTCAATTAGCAGTGTTTCTTCGTTCTTGTGACAAGAATTTTAACATTTTTGAGAACTGGAACTAATACCGATGCCTGGTACTACCACAGGAGAAGATATATTTACTTGTGTTTTTGGACTTCTGCAGAAATACAATCTACCTTTGGGTAAATTAAATTCTGTAGCTACAGATGGCGCTCCATCAATGACTGGGAAAAACAAGGGCTTTGTAGCATTACTAAGAAAAAAAACTTAGTGAAATTAATGGTTCAAACATTCATCATATGCATTGTATTATACATCAAGAAGTTCTATGCACGAAAGTAATAAATATGGAGAATGTTTTGTCATATATAAAAAAAAGTTATAAATTTTATAAGATCTCGAGGTTTAAATCAGCGTCAATTCACTGCTTTCTTAAGTGAGTTAGGTAGTGAATATTCGGGTTTGTCCTACTATACCGAGGTACATTGGTTATCTTGCTCCAAGATTCTCAAACAATTCTGGAATTTGAAAGAAGAAATATGTCAGTTTTTAAAAACGAAAAATCAAGATGTAAGTTTGTTTTACGATCCAATATGGATACAAGATTTATCTTTCTTGGTTGATATAACCAAACACTTAACCGATTTAAATTTATTGTTACAAGGAAAAGATCATATCATTACAACATGTTTTGACATAATTAAAGCATTCAAAATGTCAACTAGTTCTTTGGGAAAAAAAAACAACTTAAAAATGAAGATTTGACGCACTTCCCGACGTGCAGCATGAAAAATCAAGTTTAGATGATACTTGTTCGTATCAAAAATACGCAGAGAAAAAATTGCAAATTTAACAACTGAATTTGAAACGAGGTTTAATGATTTTAGTTCCCTCGAAGACATTTTTTTTTTTTTTTTCTTTTATTTTATGTTTATTTCTTTTATTTTATTTTTATGTTTATTGAGTTTCTCAATAAGTATTGATTCAGCCATATGCAAATGGAGGTGATCGAGATTCAATGCAACTCAAATTTGAAAGCAAAATTCATTGAAGTGGGCGTGCCTGAATTTTACAAATATTTACCAGCCAGGTTTGAAAATACTCGAAAATTCGCATATGAAATTATTTCCATGTTTGGTAGCACTTATCGGTGCGAGCAGTTATTTTCAGTCATGAAAGGTAATAAGTCTCCTATTAGAAACCGTATTAATGATGCTCACCTCGGGTCAGCATTTGAAAGTTATCACTGCAAACAAAATTTCTCCCGAAATAGGAAAGATAATAGCAGAGAAGAGATGTCAAGTATCAGGACGTAAACATTAAATTTTTCTTGTTCTTCTATCTAAATAATATATATATATGTTTATTATTGTATTATTCAAAATAAATCTACATTTCTATGAATACTGATTTTTTTTTTTTTTTTTTTTTTTTTTTTTTTTTTTTTTTTTTTTTTTTTTTTTGCGGCCCGCCTAAAGTAAACCTTGTTTGTTGGCCAGTGTACTTATGAGTTTGACATCCCTGATGTACACAGTCATCAGTTTTCACTTAAAAACATAAGAGCATTATTCAAATTCAGTCACAAAGTACAGCTTGATAAAATACAAACTTATGCATTCAGAAATAAAAAAAGTATCAAATATTGTAAAAGCAGTAAATTCCAAAATGGCAACATATTTCTTGACTTGATAAATGGGATCATGTCATTCACAATCAACAAATACTTTTACAATATAGAAATTTATTATAAATTAATATACAGTTTTGTAATCATAATTAATCCAATAACCTGGCTCATATAAATGCAGTACATTTTATAGAAGATACAAATATCGAATATACAATACCATTCTGGGTACAAAGATAATGCAATATTTTTTCACATTCCCTATGCTAAGGCCAGCATTAATATGATCAGAAATTACTTGTGTCTTTTGAATGCTTGGTCTGATAATATATACACATCTAAAACATTAATAAAGAAAAAAATATTAGTTACATTAAATATTAAGTAAAATTTGCAATAGTTTCAAATTGTTAACAATTTATTAACACTTTTTGATAGTTTCCTGCTACAAACAATGAAAATAACTACTAAAGGCCCGTGTCTCTACAAGAAAGACATATCTTCGGACATCTGTGGTAGTCAATATACATAGGGAACCATATCTCTGGCATGTCGGATACTGCAGCACCTGCACCAGGAATTGTGATCACTGTATATGACAGGATACACTATTGCATACATACTTTGTGACAGCTAATGAAATGAGTATGGAAATCACTTGTCTGAAAAGCAATGGTGGCTGAATCTTACTGATGTTGCAAACTTACATATGTTGCAAACTGTGTGGAGTTTTTGTTATTTAACAAACTTAAGATGACATATTTATTTTGGATCTTAGATACAAGTGATTTGTTTTTGTAAACTACAGAGCAATTGCATTTTTTTCCTCATTTGTTAGCATTAATTAAATCTGGTAGAATACATTTTTTCCTCTTTTAAGAAGATTGTTCTGTTGCATTGTTCTGTTCTGACAAGTCTGACAAACAAGAAAAGCTTAATTTAATATATGTGATTTTTCAACTTTTGGACTAAGTTCAGATAGCCCGATCACTTGGCGCATTTACCTAAATATTTAAATCTTCTATGAACCGGCAGATTGCGAGTTCGAATCCAGCTAAGCTATTTTCTGATTGTTTTTAAACTGAAAATAATAATTTTATTGTTTCTGTAATTAACAGAGTTATGTTAATATAAATATTACTAAAATTTTTACATGTAACATATAATAATTTTATTATTATACATAAATTATTACTACATTTTTATTCTGTATAAATTTTATAACAATTATTCCATAATAATTTTATATTACATAAATATAATTATTAGATTTTTACATTATTATATATAAAGTAATAAAATTAGTTTTTACTCTTTCATGAACTTAAAATGATGCATTATGAATCTACTAATTATCACTAATGTATGTTACATTTTATGTTTTATATAAAGCATTGATTATTTCTTTATATATAAATGAATGATAATATCTATATATGCATTACATTTCATAATTAATTGCTTTAATGCTTCATTATTATTATTTTTAATTTACAATTTTTATTTATTTTCTGTACTTTTCATAAAATTTAGCTTTGAAAACCAAAGGTATTGAAACTTTGCATAATATTATGCTTTTTTGGAGACCAGTGAATGTCTCCTATTAGATATAAATCAGCTCATCAGCTTTCTCCGATTGGCTCAGTAGCTCACAGCAACTCGCACACAAAGTCATCCTATATAGACAAAATGGTGTAAGGCAATATGTCTATCAAGAAGACTTTACTGCGTTGCTGACCAATTTTGTCTCCTTGTATAGACTGACCTTTAGTAGCATTTTGTAATCTATAAGTACAATAACTTTTTAACATATACATATAAAATACAAGTGTGTTCTAATTTATTATTTTTAGATGAGATTAAAGAATTGCATTAGCTTTTTAAGAAATGGTCGTTAAACCTGAAACAATTCCTATCATAAATTTCCATCAGGAACTGATATACAAATGTCAGTATTTAACAAAATAAAAATATTTTGACATTTATCTTTAACATATTATCTTGTTAATAATATAACAAATCAAATTAATAAACTAAAAGCCTTTTGTTTTGCCACATGATGTATATGTTTCATTTCAATTAATATTTTTTAAAATTTAATGATTTAAAAATATATTAATATTTTTTGAACCAGACTAATATTAAACAGGAAAACAGTTACAGAACACAGCTTAGCATAAAAAGAAAGGCAATGAATATATAAATTAAATGCTAAAAGCTTTATTTAAAAAAAAATACATGTACTACCTTGACATATCTGTCACATCTTAAAAATTAAAGCATGTAGGATAGTTATAAAATTCAACTTCCTCTTCTTACTTTAAACTTTTTTGTTACTTTTGTTGTTTCTATAATGAAGCCTATTCAAATAGTGCCACGGCAAAGATAACATGCCCAGCAATCAACAAAATGTTATTGTTGTAGAGGTTGGATCTCGTAAACATGACCCCAATTTTTAACAATCAGCAAGGATGGCTGGACAATAAAAAATGCGTGCAGTTGGTCAATTCGAGTCTAGGCAGTTATCACAGTTTCTGTATGTTTTTTTTTTACCCTCTCTGTCAATTTTCAATTCTTTGTGATAGCCAGTTCAAAGCCTGACCATAGTTTTAATTATAAGTTGATTTCCAATGATGTTATGCAGCCGATGCTTTATTGGAATTGAATGTTCCTTTAATCTGTATTCGGCCACTGCATTTGCATCTGAGAAGGTGACATTTATGTAGTTATGTGTCTGTGTTCAGTACTAAAAATTTCTTTATAACGTAAAATCTTTTGATTTATCTCAAAGTCAATAGGCTGTTAAAAAATTAAATTTTAACTAATAAAATACTAGACATTTCATTTCATATCTTTGTACATTTTTTGTTTCTGACTTTTTAGGCAATTGTAACCAGTAGAATAAACCAGTTTTCTTTACAGAATCCTTCATGATGACACTTCCTTTTTGGTAGATAACATTTAAATGACCTGATATAACTAAACAATTAAATTAAGTATGAAAACAAGCAAATTTACCTGTCAGATTAATAAACAAACAATGTAAAATCAAACAAATATACCATTATGACTTCAATAAATATAAAACAGGAAATCCAAAAATTTGTCATTCAATTTTGTCAAAATTTGTCTGGCAATTTTAATGTCACAGTCACTGTATCCCCATGACCTCACAAAAAATTTTAAATTAGAGGCAAAAATTAAAGGTGCAGGTGAGAATATGGTAACTATGCTGGATATGAATATACTAGCTGAATATGGTAACTATATTATAGCTGTACTGTAAGTAACTTAATTTAAAATTCAAACTAATATACACAATAAAATATTACATTGCAAAATAAGTTGCTTATTATATTTACTAAATATTGATTATATTATCTCCTAATATTAATTTTAGAAGTATCTAAAAAGAGTGAACCCATAGGTAGTAAGTTTAATTCCGAAAATTGTTTTAAAGTAACTTGAATGTAAATTGTTAAAAATGTTTTACGGGGACTTGAATTAAATCATGAATAACAAAATTTCAATAGGGAAAAGAAATGAAATTAAAAGCAAGTAATCATTGCCATTGACATATATATATATCTATGTGTAACAACAATATAACAAAACGAAATGCAATAAAAATTTAAAGAATTAAAAAATATTTACTCACTGTGGAGTGTTTCCAGGAGTGGATCCAGGTTCTAATTTATATACTTTTTCTACTTCACACGTCTAAGAAAGAAAAGAAAAAAGTAAACAAAAACCCTAACGAGTGAATACATGAAGTGTACAGTAAGTTAGATGGTTCAAATGATATACAGTCAAAAGTCATTAATTCGGACACCCATAATTCGGAATGATCTATAATCCGGACCTCAAAACTAAAAACTTTCTGCGCATGCGCCGCGTTGACACATGCGCATAGGCATTTACGCGTGCACGTAAGACCTTTTACGACTGTGCATATGAGTGTGCGCAAGTGCAGAATACGTTTTTGCGTGCGCGTTTTATGTATAATGGACGTATAAGCTAAAATTATCTAATTATCTATTTCAGTTAATGTTGATGATTGCGTTGTTCCTTAATTTTCGAATTGGATCCGGCTTATTATTTTTGCAGACTGTAAGAGCAATTTTATAAAAGTAAGCTTAAACTTTCGATTATATCAAATAGAATTTCCGATATATATTTGTTAATATGTAAAGGATCTAAAGCGAAACTATGTTTTGAAATCAGAAATCTGTTTATCAATTTCACGCTGCTCAGCGGGGGGAACGCTGCAGTGGGCACGTAATGAATTGGAAGTTGATCTGTCAGCACTATCCTTATCTTCAGCGCAGATGTTTTTATTTTATTTGGCTTATAATTCCTTACCAAATGTAGTATTTCATCTTGATATGCTCCGTTTTTGATATGATTTAAAACAAGTTCCTCGTCATTATAATTCCCTTCGATAGCGAAGAAAGTGACAGAGGTTATTGAAAACGAAAAAATTTCGATTGACAAATTAGTCGGTGTTCTCGACACAGCAATTATAGGACTTGAACGGCGGAACTTTGTAACTGAACAAGAAATTATGTCTGTTTAATAGAATTAAAGAGAAAGTATTATCACATGAAACGAAGCAAAACTTAAACAACTTAGATTGAAAGAAATGTTTAATAAAGTAAACAAATAAATATTAAGCTTTTTCTTTTTGCAAATTTTGATACCCTTTAGATCATAATTGTTCTTTATTTCATAAATTACGGTTTCAAATTTTTAATTTTAGAATTTCTGCATGCCATCTTATGAGATTTAAACTGATAATCTATAATCCGGAAAAATCAATAATCCGGAATCACCGAAGTCCCGACGAGTCCGGATTAACGACTTTTGACTGTACATATACTTTTGGTACATTCCTTTTATATAAAGAACATAAAAGAAATAGGTACTTCCTGATTATCTGCACCCAGCACAAAAAGTTGCCACTCATTGGTGACTTTAATGAATTAGTGAAAAATACTTGTTTGGCTATCTATACATGCGATATGATTGAGTTATGTTTTCATCACAAATATAACTAATTTCAAATATGTGCTTAACCTTCCCAGCAATAATTAAAAAAAAAAAAAAAAAAAAAAAAAAAAAAAAAAGATCTCTCTTCAAAAGCAAGGATTCTAACTGAAAAATCATGCTGGATACTAAAGTGTATTTTAAGTCAATAGTGTGATCTATCTATTCAGTCAGTCAGTAGTAAAAGATGTTCAAACTTTGCAAATATTGCATATAAAAGTGAACTTTTTATTTAAATAATTAAATTAAAATTAATATTTTATTTACATACATTTTGGTTAGTGATATCTATCTAAAAATTATATTATTTACACTACCCACCAACTGTGAGAAGCTGCATGCCAAAAAATTAGTTATCATTAAAAAAACAATTGTAACTGGATGTCGATATTCCATATTTAACGAAGACATGCAGATTTTTTTTGAACACACTTTATATAGACTGAAGTGCCACTAAGTAAGGAATAGACATTGATATGCAAATTTTATAACACTGTGCAGCATCTGTGCTCACATGAGGAAGTTGTGGTAAATGCACATACAGCTAGCACTATGGTTGTTGTTAATCACTCATTTCAATTGCCAGTATGGGTAAAATTTCTGATTTAGACAGCTTCAATCCTGGACAGATAATAGGCACTCGACGCATGGGCCACTGAATTTCCAAAATCCTCAGTGGGCTAGGATTTTCAAGGTCGACAATGTCAAGAGTATACCGAGAATATACGGATGGTGGTAAAAAGAATTAGCCATCGGGCAAATTGCAAAGGACAATTAACCTAGAACAAGCATGGTGTGAGATGGCTTATCCGTATTGTACAAAGTCAATGAAGCCAAACACAAGCTAAAATTACTACCCAGCTGAATCAGAGTGACAGTCGTAGTCAGTAAAAGGATCGTGCAATGCTCGCTTCACTGTATGGGCTTTGGAAGCCATAGACCCACAAGAGTACCTTTGCTGAATGTATGCCATCGAACTGCACTTCTTGCCTGGGCAAGAAAATTCAGAAAATAGACTCTGGTGGACTTGAAATGAGCAGCAAGGAGTGACGAGTCTCAATTCCGACAAATTAATACCAATGGAAGGCTGAGAATATGTTGTCAGACTCATGAAGCCATGAACCGTGTATGGCAGATTGAAACTGTACAAGGCCATGCTGGCTTAATCATGGTATGGGATGTTTTCTCTTCGCAGTGTTTGGGATCTTTGATACTTGTACCAACCTCCCTCCCTATGATTCGGTATGTAGAGTTACTGGGCAATCATCTCCACCTATTTATGTTGTGCTGTCATTCACACGGAAATGGAGTATCCCAGCAAGATAACTGCAACATTCACAGGTCTCAATTGGATGAGCGTTCTTCTAACTTCTCTGTTATAAACTGGTTACTTAAAAGCCTGACTTAAATTATACTGAGCATCGTCATTTTAATTTGACGCCTTCCCAGACATTTTGCCAAATTTTTATTGATTTCCTTCTCTTTAAGCATCTTTTCTAACAATCAGAAATTTGTCTCAATACGCAAACCAATGCTCCGACTAGTTTCTACATGCTTTATCTGCTAACTTGTCAACCTTTCCAAAATATGCCTATGAGGGTTTACTTGATCTGGTAAAAGTTAAATAGTTCCAAACTCTCTGACAGACGTGAAGCAAATTAATTGCTATGTCTGAAAGTACTATAATATCAGACAAAGGTTTAAATAAGCCTCTTATTTAAAAAGTTCTTATACGACAACGAAAAATAAAATTGTTTTATTTCAATGTTATTTTTAAGTATAATTTCAATATATTACTATTATTTTAGTGAAATTTATCAACGTTACAATGTTTTAAAAACAACAGTCAAAAAATTCCCAGATCTCGGAATTAAAAACTTTTTACAGAAACTGATCTTAAAATCGCCAAATTCAGAAGGTAAAAAGTTGTTTAAGAGTTCTTAGAAAAAATGAATTCTGAAATGCTTATGTTTAATTTCTTGCTAAGAAACTCCAGTATCCCACCATCCATATTAGAAATAGGAACAAATTATAACTCATGAACCCATTCAAAAATAACCATATACAGGGTTCGTACACATTTCTGCACATGGAAATTAAGTACTTTTAAGGACTCTTAAGGAGCATTAATGAAAAAAATTAAGGACCTATCAGCAAATAGGAGCTAAATAATTAAATTCAATCAGCTTATATCTGAACTTCACTTTTATAATAAAGTTCTAAGAATAAAAATAGATCCGTAAGTAGGATGCATTCTTATTAAACAAAATTTAATAAACATAATAAATTTGAGAATAAAACCCACTTTATAAAATTTATCAAGTAGCATTAAATATTTTAAATGTATAATAGTTGGACATATTTGAAAGAAAATTAGGGACATATTATTGACAGCTTTATGCTGATTTTTTCTTTTATGTCTCATTTTGTCATGTACTTACTAACAGAGACTAGAGGTTTAATAAATAGTAGGTAAATTTTATGTCAAATGGCATAGGTTAAAATGAGAAATAAAATCATAATCAGTATTATTCGTAACAGAAGATTAGCTGTTGCTAGGGCTGCTGCTTGCCGAGAGAGAGACCCGTTGATCAGAAAAATCCTGAAAGCCTGATGTAGTTTTGAGATTGGCAAGTTTTGAAAGTTACTTGTACTCCATCTGTCTGACGCAGTTAGTGTTATAGCTCCATGTAGAAATCCTGGCATTGTCAGTTAGTTAATATACACTCTTTTGCAAATAAAAATGAAGCACCATGAAGGAAGTAGTTGTTTTTGATGAAATTGAATATGTGTATAGCTCATACACAATAAAATGATTAAAAAATCAAGGTCATAGTGCCTGTTCACGGTTCACAATCACTCATTGAGTGTTCAAATTAGTAGTTGGTCGAACCGCTCCTGGCGGCAAGGCATGTTTGAATTCATCGAGGCAAGGAATGGTAGAAGTTCCTAATCATCCTGCGACACATTCTGCCAGGCATTCATCAGTTGTCACTTCATTTCTGCGATATTTTGTGATGCCCGAATCTGGCAGCCTACTATGTCCTAGACATGCTTGATTGGTAAAAGGGCTGGTGACCTTGCTGGCCAAGGAAGAGTATCAACTACATGGAGACAGTCCAGAGTATGCTAGCGGTATGTGGCCTGGCATTATCTTGTTGGTAAATGGCCCCAGGATTACGTGACATGAAGGGTAATGCAATCGGCCGCAGGATGGTATCAACATATCGTTGTGCTGTTAAAGATGTATGAAGGATGACTAAAGATGACTTGCTGTCATAAGAAATAGTGTGTCCCACACCATCACACCAGGGGTTATGGCTGTATGCCTTTGTAAAACGAAGGCTGATTGGGACTGCTGGCCCCATCCTCTCCAGACATGAACACGGTTGTCATCTTCTTCAAGAGTGAAGCAGGATTCATCGCTGAACACTATACGATGTCAGCCTGATGGCAGCCATGATGATCGGCTATGACACCACTCCAGACGACTCAGCCAATGTTGTGGGGTCAAAGGCAAACATCTTAAAGCCTCTGTGAGAGTAACCCCACCTCAGACAAACGCCGTGAGATGGTGGACGGTACCACAGGAGGTAGAGACGTAGCTGCAGTGCGTTAAATAGTTGACAATGATATTGTTGTGATGGTTCGGGCCTGACGAACAATCATCCTAT